ATTGAGGGGCAGACACAAGCACATCCTAGGAGCTCACTGGCCTGTCAATCTACCAAAACAGCGAGTCTCTGGCTCAGTGTGACACCCCATGTTCAGTTCTGGCTTCTGCGTGTGTACATGAGTGCACACTCACACATGCACAACACGGCAGGCTGTGAAGTCACAGGCATATGCCACCAAACCTAGCTAAAAGTCATGACTTAAATCTTGCTATTTTGTGATTGGACGTTTAGAAAGATGGTGCAGTGGTTTGAGCGAAGATGGCACCCACAGGCCCCTATGTTTGGTACCCAGTGGTACCCAGTGGTGGAACTGTCTGGGGAAAATCAAGGGGTGTGGCCCTGTTGAGACAGGTGTGACGTTATTGGAGGTATATCATTGGGGTAGGCTTTGAGGTTTTAAAAGTACCTGCCAGGATCTCTTGAGTCTAAATCTCTGTCCTCCTCCCCTCCCTCCCTCCCTCCCTGACACCACCTGCTGTCTATGGACCAGAATGGAAAGCTCTGGGCTACTACTCTGGCACCATGTCTACCTGCTTCCGACCACAGTAGCCACTGACCAACCCCGCCCCCATTAAATGTTTTCTTTTATAAGAGTTGCCTTGGTCATGGTGTCTCTTCACAACAACAGAACAATAACTTGGAAAAGTCAATATAGAATTGTGTATAATAGCATGATTTAAGTAACCAAAGCTAGGCATGGTACCTCACACCTATGATCACAGCACTCTGGATGCACAGACATGAGTTCTTACGGGAGTTCTAGACCAGTCAGCTCTACACAGTGAGTTCCAGGACAACCTGAGCTACATATCGAGAGCTCTCAGAAAACTAAACTAATACTGTGCTGGCTAGTCTACGTCAACTCCACACACAAGGTAGAAGGTAGAGTCACCTGGGAAGAAGGAACCACAATAGAGAAAACACACCCCCTCCCAACACACACACACACACACACACACACACACACACACACACCAGTTTCGCCTGTGGGCAAGCCTGTGGTGGATTTTCTTGATTAATGACTGTAGGTGTGCCACCCCTGTGCTGGTGGTCCTGGGTGCTGTAAGAAAGGGTGAACAAGCCACAGAGAGTAACTCAGTAAGCAATGTTCCTTAATGGCTTCTGCTTTTGTTTCTGCCTTGAGTGTTCTGACCCCTGACTTCCCTAGAAAATGAACGAAAAGCTGTTAAGATGAAATAAACTCTTTCCTCCCAGGTTGCTTTGGAACTCAGTGTGTTACCACAGCAACAGAAACCATAACTAAGACACCAAACAAACAAACAAACAACTCCTATAATACTCTGTTCATATAGGACACTTACTACTTTATCATATTTTGTAGTAAAAGCGTAGGACATGGGGCCAGGAGCTGGCTCAGCAGTGAGGAACATTGTTTACTCTTGTAGAGGACCCAGGTCCAGTTCTCAGCACCCACATGGTAGTCTAAATCATTTGTAGCGCTAATTCTAGGGTATCCAATACCCTCTTTCTGACTCCACAGGGATGGTCTCCACATGGTACAGAGATATATAAGCAGGCAAAATACTCATAAACATAAAACAAAACACAACAGAAACAGAATTAAGGAAGGAAAAGTAGGATATTTAAAATGACGTTGTAGGTGGAAGGTGGGGCAGGACTTCAGCATGGTGCCCCATCCTGACACCAAACTTGCAATCTCCTGCTTTAGCCTGGCAGGGGATTAGAATAATAGTCGTCACCACGTCCTCGCAGGTGATCAGAATAATGGTTGTCACCACATCTGGCCCACGTTTACTTTTTTAAAAATCTAAATTTTCTTTTTAAAATAGAAGTGATAGTGCAGACAGATGATGAGTGTCATTCAAAATGGACTTAGAAGTTCTCTTAGATTTTAGATTTCAGATAAAAAAAGCTTTTATGCATCAAAAGACTATCAACACCTTTGGTTCTGGGATAATCTCTTTGTATATTATTTGAAGATCCATCTCTGTTTACCTCACCTGCCAAAGGCACCTTCTGATTCGGTTAATAAAGAGCTGAGTGGCCAATAATTAGACAGAAGAGAATAGGCGGGACTTCCAGGGAGAGACAGGAACTCTGGGAAAGAGTCTGAGATGGGAAATTCGCCAGCCAGATGCAGAGGAAGTTGGATGTATGGTACTGAGGAGAGGTAATGGGCCACATGACAAAATGAAGATTAACATAAACAGGTTAATTTAAGCTGTAAAACAAGCCTACGCTAAGGTCAAGCTTTTATAATTAATAAAAAGTCTCCGTGTCATTATTCAGAAGCTGACAGTCCAAACAATCCCCTGCTACACCTTGGTGCTGGAGAGACAGCTCAGCAGTTAAGAACAAGCATTGCTCTGGCAGAGGACTCAAATTCTGTTCCCAGCAGCCACATGGTAGCTAGCAACCATCCATAAGGATCTGACGCCCTCTTGTGGCGTCTGTGTGCATTACATGCACATGGTGCAGACATACATGTAGGCTACAGATACATAAAATAAAAAATAAATCATGAAAAGTATCCTGCAGAAGGAAACATTTATAAACCACACCACTGGACATGCTTGCTACTGAGAATGCACAAGTAACTCCCACAACTAATCACCAACAAGATAAACAGATCCTAATGGATGAGAGTGTGAATGGACTTTTCCCCAAAGAAGATAAATAAATGCTAAGTATCATGTAAAGGGATGCCTGGCACTGGCACCACTGCCCCTGGGAAATCACCAGTGTGCATGAGGCGGTGATGCCACCTAACACACCAGGACGGCAGGCTTCCACTCTCCTGAAAATGTTCTGGAGGCGGATGGTGTTGGTGGTCATACAACAGCATAAATATTCTTAATGTCACAGAATTGTACATTTTGAAAGTTTTATGCTATGTATAAGTAAAAACGCACCTGTGGGCTGAGATTTCTCAGTGGGTGGAGCACTTCCCTGAGCGGAAAGACCAGAGTTCAGACCTCAGCACCCACGTGAGTGGCAGCTGCATGTAAGGCCAAGCAGGCAGAGACTCAGGGGGGACAAGGGGCCTGGAGCAGCTCACTAGCAAGATCAGCCTAAGTTAGTAAAGTAGAGAGCAACGGAGGAAAACATTCAACTTCACCCTCTGGCCTCCAGATGAACTCCCCCCCCCCCCCCCAGAAGTCCTCTGAGACGGATGAAGTATTGAAAACAGAACCGCAGTCACCGGAAGGCAGATATACAAACGCGGTGGTTCTGGTGCGGGCGGCGGGAGCGGCCACAGCGTACCTGGATTTCAAGCTCGGCGATCTGCTGCCTCAGTTCTGCCACGGCGGCTATGCTGTCAGCTTCCCGGAGCCTCAGAGCCATGACTTCCTCCTTGTTCTACAGCAACAAGAAAACAGAGACAACCTGGCTGAATCTGGAACTGAGATTTTTTTCTGACTATACAAACTATTAAGGGCATAAACTGATATTCGTAGGATGTGGCAGGGTCTGAGTCGGTATCTGCACTGCAGCAGTCAGGCATAAACATCCCCGTCCCAGGGGACAACAACTTGTAAGAGGCCACCTACTGGTTCAAGTCAAATGTTGCCTTCAAGTGAACCTGCGTGAAGTTTATGAAAATCTTTCGGGATTCAAAGTGTTGGGGACTGAAATGGGGGATTATAGGCTTGTGCTATTTTAAGTGAGAATATTCAAACTCATTTATAGAGTAAAAATGTTGATAATACAGATACTATTCAGATACTTATATATGAAAAATAAAATGAGCTTTAAAGGTTACTCACCAACAAATCATAAGCTTTAATCATATAAAACATAATGAAAATGAATCTAATTTATGTAATAAGGGACTTGCTTCTCGGAGAAGTTATAGTTGTTACTGAATTGTACTCTAAGCGGGAAGTGTGACAGGCTCTAGGCGCCAGAGTAACAATAAGTGCACTAATATTAATCACCAGGATCTGCGAAGGCAGTGAAGACGGCTGAGTTAGTGCAGGGGCACATCAGAGTGAGGGTCCTGGACACACTTCTAGGGTACTGAGGGAAATCCTGTGCCAGCCTGCCCAGTCCTCCACTGCTCCGAGTCCTTACCCATTACTGAGACAAACTCAAAACATGTATCTTCATGGCCAAGTTCCACAAATACTTCCAAAGAACATTTCATTTTGCTAACAGGTGCCACGATAATATTAAATTCAGAAATACTATTATCAAAATGTCTAAAGAAAGCTGGCACTGATCTAGAAAAGATTACACTAGTTCTCTATTGAAGACAAATCACAGGGCAGTGTGGCATCAAAACGTCCATCAGCATCAGGGTGACAAGGCACGGTACAACTCACTGCGCCACCACTGCTTGTGCAGCCTTTGATACAACTTTATGGTTAAATTAGTCCAGTTGTACCTTTTTAAAGGGTCAGTTCTTGAGCTAACAATTGTCAGTATTGCCTACAGATTTCTTCAGTCTGAACTCTAACAACCATGAATATTTATCAGGATGTAATTTCATCTCTGGATCTCAGTGACACAGATAACCACTCCAGCTTCACTCCTGGTTTTTAATAACACCAGAACAAGTTGATGGAATTACAGCTTTGTGTGTGCCGCTGAAAGTCTCATTTCTCATAAAATAGTAAGCTGGGATGCATTGAGGGCACTGCGACTCTTAAAGGAGCTGTGCTGATGGAGTAATAGTTCCTCTTAAAATGCCGCACCCTCCCCAGAAATCAGCTCTAAAGCTCGGACGACATGCATCTCTTCAGCTATTCTCGTATTTATGTATGTCTATCCATACTCCTCTGCCTGATGCTCCAGCCCTGACCCCCCATTAGCTAAAGCTGCTATAAGCCTTTTCATAAAAAATTCAATTTATTTCAAATACTTATAGTTCTTTTTGAACAAAAAGCTTCATATAAACAAAAACCAATTAACAGATGGAAATTGTATACATTTTTCTTAATCTACCTGTGCATACCCATTTCTGTTTCTGTTACCCAGAAAGCACTGCAACACTGACTGCCTGCTAACACGGCGAGAATCAAGTAGGGAGCATCAGACCCCCCACCACCTGCATTTTCAGGTAAGCCATCACAGCTGGGTTCTAAAGACACACTAGTCGATAGAGACACCAATGTAAGACATTAACTTAACCAAGTCTACGGTTAAAAATGAGGTTTCTTCTCTGCAATTCACCCTATGAACAAAATGAGTGAACCTTGTCTGAAAATTTAATCTTGGTGTGGTACATGCTTTGGATCCCAGCAATGGGAGGCAAAGCCAAAGGAATCAATGAGACTTTGAGGCCAGTTTAGTCCACATAGCAAGCTCCAGGCTAGCCAAGGCCATATATTGAGAGGCTGTCTCAAAAAGACAGTATATAATCGCGATAAATAAATCTATAAAAGGGAGCATTAAACTGACACTTACCTTGCATTCAATCTCTGCCTGTCTGCGCTTTGCCTCACTTAACTGGGTAAGCAACCCTTTGTTCTTCACAGAAAGAGAATGCACCTTCTCCTGCAAACTGGTGACCTCTTGCTCTGCTCTTCGAAGCTGGTTACTGTTGATCTGGTTCTAATGAGAAATATAAATAGACTCACTATAGGTAAAAGACTGGAAATTTTTAATTAATTTTTAACCTGTAAATCTTACACTTAAACAATCTTATAAAATGTTTTTTAAATGTTTATTAAAAATGGAAAAAGATATGAAACAAATCTTTAGTCAAGTGTGTAGCACATGTATCCATACTAGGGAGGCTGAGGAAGAAGTACCAGTAAGAGTTTAAGGACAACCTGGGGGCTACTCTGTGAACCTGACAGCCCATACTAACAGCAAGACCCTGTCTCAAAAAAAAAAAAATCTTTAAAACAAAAACATTGAATTCTCCAAAAGAATATTAAAACTTCTTAATCAACATACCAGAAAGGCACGGTGGCATACATCTGCAATCTCAGTGTTTGGAAGGTAGAGGCAGGAGAACCTGGAGTTCTAGGCTACCTTTGTTCATGTAATACAGAGTTTGAGATTAGCCTGGACTACATGAGACCCTGCTTCTAAACACTAGAAATAAACACTTAAATAAACAAAAATATAACCTAAATATACCACTTATGCAAAAAACCTGTAAACTATGAGGACCTTCACAAACAACCGAGAGACAATTATTTCTGTAAGCCTGGGGAAAGATACGGGAGACAAGAGCATAAACTGAACTGTGAGCCCTCTCACTTCACCAATGAGTCAGGTGTTCTCTGATCTTGGGCAAGTTATTTAATCCTAACAAATCTCAGTATTCTGGAAAAATAGGCTTGCCTTTCGGCTGTGTCAGGAAGACTGTGAGGAGGGCACACGCACGGGGACTGAAGAAAGAAGTTTGCAGGCGCAGTGAATGCTCAGTTGGCACTGTCCTTTGACTCATTCTGCCTCGTTCTATGAAAAATAAAAAAATAGTTCTATAAAAAAATTTAAATCTCTGGTTTTAATGGGAAAGTAGATATAGTTTAAAAATTCCTCAATAAGAAAATTATATAAGGACTTTACATAAAATAAATACTTAAAATTATTAAAGATACAAAAAATGGAAAAAATAAGAAGAGCCGGGCATAGTGGTGCACGCCTTTAATCCCAGCACCTCGAAGGCAGATCTCGGTGAGTTTGAGGCCAGCCTGGTCTAAAAAGCAGGCTCCAGGACAGCCAGGGATACACAAAGAAACACTATCTTGAAAAATCAAAAAAGGACTAGTTCTGTAAGGCTGCTGTAATCCTGGCTAGTCAGTGCACTAAGCACCTCGGTGGTACAGCACTGACTATCTGGGTGTGAGCTCCAGTGCTATAACACATAAACAAAACACACAGGTGTGAATACACAGCTCAAGGAGCACAGTTAATCCAAGGACGACAGAGGCAAACACATCCTCACCAAGATGCGTTAGAACAATACTCAGCAGGCTGAAGAAACAGGCAAGTCAAGGAAAACAGAGTCCATATGAAGGGAAGATAATGAAGGCATTTTACCAGCCAACATATAAAAAAAATTTTTTCAGTCTACAAGAGTTTACTCAATTAAGTGCTCATCTAAGAGCACAGGCACTTCAGGAGCCATGGGTTACAGTTCTGCCATGGCCAAGGCCAAGAACCAAACCACACATAACCAATTCCAAAAATGGCACAAGAAATGGCACCAAGAAAACCCGGTCACAAAGACACAAATCTCTCTCTCAAGGGGGTCAACCCCCAAATTCCTGAGGAACATACGTTTAACCAAGAAGCACAAGAAAGGCCTGAAGAAGACACAGGCAAGCAATGCAAAGGCAATGAGTGTGTGCAGAAGCCATCAAGAGTCTGTCAACCCAAGGTGGCCCAGCCCAAGATGCCAAATGGCCCCGGTCACACACTCGGCCATCTTGCTTTCCTTGCTCACCCCAGGCTTGGGAACTGGATTAGAAGCTACCTGGTCAAGAGTCGTAGGCTCTGCCAGTCAAAGCTCAAGGATTAAACCAAGGTCCAGGCCTCAGCTCCAGTAGTGCCCAGGCCCTTGTGAAGGCCCCTATGAAAGGTTTCTGTCTGCAGCGTGAAGGCAGATGGGCTGGTGTCACACACCCACACGCTAAGTTAGGTGATCAGGGCCCTATGCTGTTTTACAAATAAACTTGAGGCAAGATCTGTTTTTTTTAAAAAAAAAAAGAGCAAAGGCAAACTCAATGTAAAAAGTGAAAGGGAGTCAAGTACAGTGACATGAGAACCATAATCCCAGCTATCTGGATGGATCCTGAGTACAGTGACATCAGAACCATAATCCCAGCTATCTGGATGGATCCTGAGTACAGTGACATCAGAACCATAATCCCAGCTATCTGGATGGATCCTGAGTACAGTGACATCAGAACCATAATCCCAGCTATCTGGATGGATCCTGAGTACAGTGACATCAGAACTATAATCCCAGCTATCTGGATGGATCCTGAGTACAGTGACATCAGAACCATAATCCCAGCTATCTGGATGGATCCTGAGTTTGAGACCAGCCTGGGTAATAAAGCAAGACAGAGAAGAAAGAAAAAAGAGGGGAAGAGAGACAAGAGGGCAGGACGGGAAGGAGGACACGGCAGTTACAGACTGGAGTCAAGCGAGTGCCAGCCCTGTGGCGGCAGCAGTGGCTGACAACCTGGAGGCACAGGCCACGTCCACAGAATAAGGTGGGGTATGGGACAACACGGATGTTCTTCCGAGGAAGGGCCTGGAGCTTAAAGTAGAGATATAGTCACTGCCTTTAGAATTTGTTTAGTCAGGCAAGTGTTTCCAATTTTTCAGGAAATAAACATTAATAATTATAAATAATTAAAAGAAAATAATCACAGGGCTGCAGAGATGGCTCAGCAGGTAGATCTCTGGCTGCTCTTCCAGAGGACCTGGGTTTAATTCCCAGCACCCACATGGCAGCTCAAAACTGTCTATAAATCCAGGATCCAACACCCTCACACAGACACATATACAGAAAAAACACCTATAAAAAATAAAAAAGTAAATTAATTAAAAAAAATAATTCTAAAAGTCAAACTAATATAGAGAAAGTGAAAGAAAAATTAAAAACAGGAAAGAAGGAAAAGATTAATTTGGGACAGAAACAGAAGGTACAAACCAACAAATCACGAGGACTCTTGAGTGGGATCAAAAGAGCTAGAATGCCGCTTCCAACCTTCTGACCAAATAAGGGGGGCGGGGACCAAGACTGAACTCTGGGTTCTGACCAGAAGCCTCCTTGGGAAGAGGGGAGGGAGGGATTTAAGCCCTTCTTACCAAGGCAGAAGCAGCCATACTGCAGAGAAAACTCAGTTAGAATAAACATCAGACTAACAGAGGCCAAGTGTTGGGCGTAGAGAGTCACAAGTTCCTTTATGCACTCTTGTCATAAACCCCAGCAGGCACACACAAAGTTGGAGAGCCTTAGGATACACCCACAGCATGGGCTGGACGGAACCGGGAGAAGCACTAACTTTACCATCTCTTCCATGGAAGGAAAGCTTTACCTGGCATGGGACCAGCACACACTGCTGCCTCTGGGGTTATACAACACAATCTGGGAGAAGAGGCAGAAATATGTTCTGGACCAAGTACTGCAGCCACTGGCGGGCAGAAGCATTAGAAGGCCCAACACCTCTGATAGGAAAGCAAACTGGAGACTAAGGCTTTATTGGAAAATGGGAAACAGCCTTCCAACTCCCACATCAGCAACAGAGCGGCACTGCTGGAGACACTCCCAATTCCAGGGGGTGATGCAGACTGAAGACACCAAGTTTCTGAGAACAGCCCTCTGGGAAACCAATCCTCATTCTGAAAATGAGGTATGGCCACAGGGATTTAAGCCCGGTGGCGCAGTGTATATAACCACAGAGCAAACCTCAACTCAGCACGTCTGACTGTATAAATTCAGATCTGCCACATGAAAGGCCTGGCAGGAGGAAATGTGTACCCATTTCTAGGCACAAAAACTGCTAACCTTAGGTACTCCCTATACAAGACCCTTCCATGTGCTACAGAGAACGTTTTTCTGTTGTGTATTTGCTGGGGCATGTGATGAAAACGTGTGCACAGCCCACACATCTGACAGCTCAGCTGTCCATTGTTCAGGTTTCAAAGGTTCCCTAAACCATGTCAGGAATTTGACTCACCCCCCCATATATATGCACACATACAAATATACATATATGTATATAAATTTTGATCATAAAAATAAAACTTCCCACTATAAAATCTGATTTTTACTTTTCATAATTTTAGCCCCTTCCTTATTTTTTAATTTCAATGAAACTTTTTGAGGAAGTAACTGAGTGCTATGAAACAAGGCACGTCCACCCTGAGACACTGCATGTCCCAGAGGCCTGCCTGACACGGGCTGACCACATCTGTTCACTAGAACACAGAACGAGGCATGAGTAAACTACGCCCCCTACTGGCTGGAAAAAAACTCTGAAAATCAGCAGAATGCTTGTTCCCCTTCCCTATGTATCCACAAATTCAAACTGCTAATGACCGAAAAATTTTTAAATTGTATCTGTACTGCACATGTGCACACTTTTCTTGTTATTATTGCGTAAATAATACAGTGTAGCCATTACTTCTGTTCTTCTGTGCTACATTAGGCGTTGTACCTAGGGATGGTTTGAAGTATACTGGTGAATGGACACGGGTTACACACAAATAATAAACCATTTTATTTAAGGACATGGGTATCTGAAGATTTCAGTATCAGCAGGGATTCTACAGTCTGCAGCATGGAGCCACAGGACAACTTTACATGAAATACAACTCTGACAAATGTCATTTATAAAAGCCAAGTTCACCTTTACAGAGCAAACAAGCGTTATTAGCAAAACAATCCACACATCTCAGGCCCAACACATCTAAGACGGAGACGTGACACAGAGAGATCTGAGGAGATGGGTTTGGACTTGAACTTTAAACTTAGTACCCAGGATCACATCATGTAAGTTGAAAAGGTAAATGCCCACTACCGCTGACACTGCGATTCTCTACTGGAGACGTATGGACACAGCTTCAGTTACTAAAGGGAAGAAAGACGTCTGCAGGGCCGGGCAGGGTGCTGAACACCCCATGATGCACAGACTAGTTACAGAAAACAAAATTCCTGTAAAGGGAGACATTTCCCAGCCACCCAGACCCGAATAATCACAGAAAAACTGAATTAATTATAACACTGTTTGGCCAAAGGCTCAGGCATATTCCTAGCTAGCTCTAATATCTTAAATTAGCTCATTTCTATTGTTTTATATTTTACCACAAGGCTCGTGGTTTGTTACGTCAAATCTTGCTTCCTGGGAGGCTACGTGGCAACTGCCCGACTCCGCCTTCTTTCTCTCAGCATTCAGTTTAGTTTTCCCACCTAGCTATATTCTGCCCTGCCATAGGCCAAAGCAGCTTCTTTATTAACCATTGGTAATAAAACAGTCACAGCATATAGAAGGGAATTCCACATCAAATTTCTAGCTCAAAAATTACATATTCTGGTTGAGGAACTTGGCTCTACATAATGTCCCTTCTTAATTTGTGCAGTAAGGCAACCCTAATAAAACCAAATGCAGTCCGGCTTGCTTAAATTTTGTTGAAGGGTCAAGCAGAGATTAAATTTATGGGGGAAAAAGGTGTTATGTTTATAATCCCAGTACTGGCCACTAGTTTGAAGCTAATCCAGGCTACAGAGTGAGTAACAAGCCAACTGTAGCATGAATTCTAAACCTGGAGTCAGCTATTAGGGGGTGAAAGCTGAGAGGTCAGAGAAGCAGTGAAGCCAGCCACTAGAGAGACCTTTTACCTCTACCAAATCCTCAGACCAAAAGGGCGAGCCTGTCCTCAGACGACCTCCCCAGACTGCATCCACTGACAATTTCACTGACACCTCGGACTGCATCTGCGCTCCTGCCTCCTCCTGCCTCCTCCTGCCTTATATTCCTCTCTCCACCGGTCTCCACCTCCCCAGTGCTGGAATTGCCTTTGTGTGAGCTCTGTTTCTCTTTCAGACTGGATCAGTTTCTCGTAGCCCAGGGTGGCCTTGAACTAACAGAGATGCATCTGTCCTTTTCTCCAGAGTCCTGGGATTAAAGGTGTGAGTCACCACTGCCTGGCCTCTAGTGGCTTGGTTCCGCACTCTATCTTAGGGCAGGCTTTATTTGTTAAAACACAAAATATCATTACAGTCTGCCAGCAATATTGCACACCCTGTCTCAAAAAACAAAGCTAAAACAAAACAGGGCTGGGGCAAAGGCTGTTGGCAAGAGTGCCTGATGCACCAGCATGGAGACCTGAGTTCAGATCGTCAGCTCTCGTGTAAAAGGCAGGCTCACCTGGGGTAGACACAGGCAGGAGGATTACTGGAGCTTGCTTCATTGTAAAACATGCTAAGTTGCCGGTGTTCCCGGGTCAGTGACAGACCCTAGCTCACGAGAATAAGGACAGGGGGCAGCAGTGACTTTTAGCTTTCTACATGAGAACCAGAAAACTGCTGTCTGGACTTCATCTTTTACCTTAATTCTAAGGATGAGACAATGTTAAATTTTTTGCTCATTTGCCACCCTCTAAACACAACAGCATAAAATTTAAATTTCCCATTTAAAGCCTAGATCTTCACTCTTCATAACTTTATGGTATCTCTTCAATGTTATTTTTAGTTACATAAGAATTCTGAACAAACAGCTGTCAGACTCTGACCCACGCTGCTTTCACCTGGGCCTGCCCGTCATACCTGCGTCTCCATCTCCATCATCCTCTGCTTCATTTCTCTTATTTCTGCCTGGGTTTCTGCTTCTCTGAGGCGGATGCTCATCAGCTCATCCTGTAACTCATTCACAGTGTTCTTCTTGGGCGGGTCTTTCCATCTTCCAGAAGTTCGGGCTAAATGACGCTACAGCATACAACATTACACTTTATCAAAACAAGAGTTAACTTTACAGAGCACATATTTAAGCACTGCCCCAAATCATTTTACTTGTTTGAGAGAAGCTTTTGGTTTGTACTCCTGGCAGACTCTGGGCTTAGGGTTTTCCCGCCTCAGCCTAAGTGTTGGGATCCAAAAACAAATCACCATGCCCAGCTTAACTACAGTTTGTTACAGCTGGGTACTTGTCAATACATTTTCAAAAGCCATGACAATATCAAGGAATAACTTCTTTTGTTCTTTTAAAATTACATTATATTCATTCACTGGTTCCACGGCACTCAGAGAACAGCCGGCATGAGTCAGTTCTCTCCCACCTTTGCGAGTGCAGAAGATCCAATTCAGATTCGCAGCCTTGGCTCTGTGCCTTGCAGCAGGTGTCCCCTCCATTGACTGATCTCAGTCTTTACTAGATGTCTCTTCCCACCCTCAGTTTAAACCAAGATCACCACTCTGAAACTATATTGTTTTTAAAAATTCATTCTCTTCTGTCTTTCACGTTGTTACAGTCTGTTATCAAATTTCCCTTACAAGAAGATACATTCGTGAGAAGATACCTAAAGTGTCATTTATTTTTGTGAAAGGCATTTTCAAAGAAGTTAGAAATTTACAAATACACACTGGTGTCCTCCTTCAGCTGTTTCCGTCTTCCCAACAATGTAACTTGATAGCAAAGCAAACTGTGTTTGCTAACTGAACAGAATACCAAACTGACCTCTGAGCTCCACCTCTACACCACAGGTTGTCTTTGTGCAGTTGGCAACAACTGACACAAACACTGACAACTGATCAAAGTGACGGAGTGCGCAGTCATAAAAGAGACACCTGTGTCAAGCCCCTCTCACCGAGGCTCACGGAGCTGGGGGGTGGGGAAGCCCAGGACTGAACAGTGTCCTCTGGACATGACAGGACCACTAGACTCATGAACCCCCAGCTGAGGTTGCCTGCACAAACCCTGTAGAAAATCAAGCCAGTCCACATTCCAGCCTGAAGGGGCAGGCTCTGGAGCTCCCACAACAGCTATGAGCTACTGACAGCTGTTCCTGGATAAGGGAGAATCACTTTTCTTTAACAATGCAGCCCTGGTAGACCAATCGTGCTCAAATGGATGGTCCCACTCCCGTGAGTATGTGGCAGCACGAACTGGACGAGTGAGTCTAAAGGAAACAAATGAGGGTGTGAAGCTGGGAGGGAAGTAAATGTTATGTCTTGGAGGATCTGGAGGAGGCACCAAGATGAATATGGTCAGAATACACTGCATACATGTATGACCTTCTCAAAGAATAAAAATATTATTCTTAATGAAAAAGAAAAGTTTTATACTGTGTAAGTTTTGTACTATTTATAGTTCTCTAGGAAACTCGAACAATGCAAAAGTTCAATATGATCTTGTTTACAGTTTATGTATAAAGTACATCTTAGATATGCTCTCAAGTTGTAAATGTCTCAACTGTGACACTAAGCAAGATCTCTTTTCGTCACCTACTGTTGGTCACCAGGTATTTCAAAGTAACACAACTCAGTCCTTGGTTTTCGCTCTGTTTGGAAAAGCACAGCCAGCCTGACATACTTGCCAGTGTTCTTCTAGATCTCTGACTTGCTGTCGAAGTTCCTTCAAACCCATAATGGCTTCCGCCTCTCTCAGCTTCACAGCGATGAGCTCCTCCTGAAGCCTCGCGATGTTATTCTCATCAGGAAACGAGTTGTTCTTCTAAAGTCAGAGAAATTCAGATTTTTTTTTAAAGTCACATTTTTTATAACTTAGTTTTGTATGGCTGTGTGTGCCCACACATACATCTGAGGAGGTGGTAAGCTAACCTGCAGGAGTCAGTTTTCTCCTCCCACCATCTGGGTTCTGGGGACAGAGTTCATCTCTATTGGCATTCTTAAACATGAAAATATGTATGGATTTGTATGAAAGTTACCAGGAAGAACTGGCACTTTTAATTGAAGAAGATGAAAAGATCTCCCATGCTCATGGGTTGATAGGATTAACATAGTAAAAATGGCCGTCCTAGCAAAAGCAATCTACAGATGCAATGCAAGCCCATAAAAATTCCAACACAATTCTTCAAAGTAATTGAAAAATAAATCTTCAATTTTACATGGAAACACAAAATCTCAGAATAGCTAAACAATCCTGAGGAATAAAGAACTGCAGTACTCACACCCCATTTTTAAGTTGTAGCACAGACCTGTAACAATGATCTGATGAAGAGGAAGCAGAACACAGTCCTGTGCTCACTGATACAGGAAAGGGTTTTCTGAACTGGCAGCCTTAAAGTTAGTTTTATTCTGCCTTTCCACTCTCCCTGTAGACAGGGTCTCATATACACACTAGACCGACCTCCAACTCACCATCTAACCAAGGCTGACCTTGTACTGCCACCTCTTCATCCTGAGTGCTGGGATTGCAGGAATTACCATCTGGAGCTGGGCCTAATGCCAGGACCTCACATATTCTAGGCAAGCGCTCTACCATCTACCAACCAGCAAATCTAGTGCATAGCTCCTCGAGTGTGAAAAACATGAGGTCTAACTCAGTTCAGCAAGTACTGCACAAGTATCTGACTCCGGTCAGAGCAGGAAGAGGAGGTATTTACAAAGTTTCCCACCTTCTCTATGTCCAGCACTTTGTCCTGCATCTCCTTCAGGGCGCATTGAGACTCAGCCTCACTCAGCCTGGCTTGGACCAACTCCTTCTCCAGCTGCAGCACGAAATCTTCGTTGTAGGAGGAGCTGCATTTATGCTAAAGGTTATAGACATAGACTGAAACTTTAGGGAAACACAAGCATGGAAATATACACATTCAGAAAAACAATAAAATTATATAATGTGGGTATTATGGGCAACTAAAAAGTAAATCTGATCTACCCAGTATTCCAAATTATTTCCCTTTTCCCAACAAATGAGTTTAAAAAGGAAAGAAAAGCCGAGTTCTGGTATCTTTGAGGATGACCACGTAAATCAGCTCTGGTAATAAGTTATTACACTCCTCAACCCTGCTCATACGAAGTATTTGTCTTCTTTTTGTCCACTCTCAAGAGCTTGTTCTGTCTCTGCAGACAACAGGGTACCCGACAGCCTCACATGGTCACTTAGTAGTTGAGATCCTTGCTGAGTACGGTGATAAACAAAGACAAACTGGTTTTCAGTGCAAGTCCCTTGCGTTCAACCCCCAGCACCACGACCAAAAGTATAAAATTGAATAAGCACATAAAATAAATCAAAATAATTTAAATGATTTTATGGTGATGGCATGTTGAAATATTATTTAAAATTGAGGTGATTATTTAAAATTGAAGTAAACAAAAAACATTAACTTTCCTTTTACTCTTTTCAGTATGGATAATACAGTATCTTAAGACTGCTTAGTTAGCTCACATTAAAGACTACAGAAGCATCTAAAGCCTAAAAATCCTATTTCCATGCATTGAAAGTAAAGATTAAGGTGAAATACCTTAAACCCTAAGAAAGAAAATTTTTATTTGCTTTAGAAATGTCAATTTCTTTAAAATATTTGCATGGATTAGTGTAAGAAGAGAAAAAAGCAATTGCTGCATAAAGAGACAAACCAGAGGCAGGACATCTCCCAGTCCGTCTCTACTCCACTGGTGCTCACACACCAGTGAGGTCATTGTGGTTTCTTAAAGCCCATTCCATATAAAACATCAGTGAATGAGCAAGGCCGAGGGTGTCACCACACACCCTCATTGTGATGTTTAGTTGTATTCAAATGTCCACCTACGGATTCAGAGCTACTTTTTAAAATAATATGTTTTTACTTATTCCCAAGACAAAATATGTACTAATACGCGTAAATAAAAAATAAAATAGTGAGACAGACAGTACATGTGACTGCCACACTCGAGCACCAGGAAGAAATGAAGCTACGAAAGGCAGGGTGCTCCAGAACAGATCTCTGTAACAAAAATGCACTTTCTGATCTCCTCCAGTACATGGCCCCAAACTGCTCCCAGACCATCCCTCCCATTTTGCCCGAAATGGCTGTGTTTTTCCTTTTTGCTTTTGCTTTTAAATCCATCCGGCAAAGTGGCTCCTGCCTGTAACTGAAGCAGCTGGGAAGCGTAAGAGAAGAGAATTAAAAATTCAAAGCTACTCTGGGCTATAGAATGAATCTGGTCACTACGTGCAACTCAGGTATCAAGACAAAGAGTAAAACACAGGCTGGGACGTAGCTATCTGTTAGACCACATGTCCAGCATGCGTGAGATTTACATTCAAATCCCAGTACTATCAAAAAATACCTATCATTTAAATGATTTCTTTCTAATACCTACAAAAATTACATAAATTCTTTAAAATGGAAATTTATCTTGTTATTTTTAATTACTGCTAATGATTAAGAAATGTGAAGAAAACAATATTTTCACTACAGTGACCTCTATTTCTTATTTAAAATGAAAGGCAAACACTATATATAAATATAATACATTTAAACTTTAGATCAAAGCCAAAATTACTTTATTTAAAACATTATTATTTTTAAGTTTACATGTTTGTATGTGTATATTTGTGTGTCTTTAAGAATATATGACACGTGTGTGCATGCCCTCACAGACCACAAGAGGGTATCAATTTTATAACAGGGATGAGAAACTCGAATGTGCTACTGAACATACTTTCTCAAATAAATTATTTAGGAAAATCTGCAATTTCCAATGATAAGTAAAAGACAAGCCTTACACTTTTTAAATTTAAATGAGTATGACATAATCCTTGTACCAACTGCATTAAACCATTAAAGAACATATGAAATATTGAATAAACAAAATCTATGAACCCAGAGTGATACAAAACAGGCTCCAATGAGGGGCTGGGAGGGAAGAAAGAGGTAAAGGAAGAGAGACAGAAATATTATCTCTAGAAGAACACTGCTAAGTGCAGCACAAGTGAGAAGAAATGGAAACCACCACTCTGGAAAATTAATGAAATAACCAACTCTACACAAATCCATGGATGTCCAATCACTGAGATAAAAGACAGACGGAGCCCCCATACAACCCAAGGAAGGAAAGTTTTACAAATCTGTAACTATATTAAACATATCTTCTTTTTTCTTGGTATTATTTTCTAAGCACTATATAACAACTATTTATTTACATTAACTATGCTGAATTGGGCACAAGTTACCTAGAAACTATTTAAAGTATACAGAAGGATGTGTGGAGGGTGTATGCTAATGTAACGCCATGTGAGAACCTGGAGCAGACACGGATTAAGTGTTCTTCCTCGAATCGATCACCCTACAGATACCAAGAGACAGGCTGTAGTTAGCTGTAGTTATCTGGTATAAAGTATTCCCAATAGACTGCTTAACAGTTGCAAAGATGGAGTCACATCTGTACTGCACACATATGTTCAGACCTACACACCTCACACACAGTGCACACAACTAAGAACAAACTCTTGAACTACAACTGTGAGTCTGTTCATTGTCAAACCTCTGTTGGTGGGAATACTGAATGCTATTATCCCTACATACACAGCCTGAAGTGAGAGTTACACCCTACAGAGCTGACATCGCTACTGTGGACAATCCTGATACTACTGATTCTGAAATCTTTGACACAGATGCTCTAAACTTTCCATCCTTAATTTTTCCCATCTTAGTTACTGTTCTATTGCTGTAAAGAGACACCATGACCAAGGTGACTTAAAGAAGAAAGCATTTAGCTGGGGGCTGCTCACAGTTTTAGAGAAGTAGGCAGACATGGCTCTGGAACAGTAACAGAGACAGAGACTGGGCCAGACTGAGGCTTAAATTCTCAAAGCCCACACCCCTAGACTTTCCTCCTCCAACAAGGCCAACCTCCCAAATATTTCCTAAACAGGGATTAAGTGTTGGGGTCATTCTCATCCAAACCACCTCACCACCATTTCAATTAGCACATTGTGCCTAAAACTGTGGGCTGACAGGCTCCATTCTTAACTCCTGAAACTTCAGAGGCAAGAGTCACTCTCAGCTGTCAAGTTACACAAACTTTCAGAGGCCACACATCCCTATTAGCCTGTTCCTTCCAGATCTCTGCAACTGAACCCACCATGTTCACCAAAGAGCCCAACTGCTGTACTTCAGATCCTGAATGTCCCTCAGAGAAAAGGAAATATTCATGAAACCTTTAGGAAATGGGTGTGTTGTGGAATTGTTACTTGAAGTCTGTTACATTTGTTTATGCTGTGGAACATTTGTTTTAATGACACAAAGATGTCTGCATTCGCCGGGCGATGGTGGCGCACTCCTTTAATCCCAGCACTCGGGAGGCAGGGGCAGGCGGATCTCTGTGAGTTTGAGACCAGCCTGGTCTACAAAGCTAGTTCCAGGACAGGCTCCAAAGCCACAGAGAAACCCTGTCTCGAAAAAACCAAAAAAAAAAAAAAAAAAAAAAAGATGTCTGCATTCTTTTATGTTACATTTGTTTTACGCTGCAAAGCTGTGTTACTTGAGCTGTCTAAAGCACCTAACTGGTCTAATAAAGCGCTGAACAGCCAATAGCAAGGCAGGGAAAGGGTAGGCGGGGCTGGCAGGCAGAGAGAATAAATAGGAGGAGAAATAGGGAGGAGATTGAGAAGAGAGAAAAGAAGGGGTCAGTCACCCAGTCACATAGCCAGACACCAAATAAGAAGGAAAGAAGAGAAATACAGAACTAGAGAAAGGTAAAAGCCCAGAGGCAAAAGGTAGACAAGGAATTTAAGAAAAGCTGGCAAGAAACAAGCCAAGCTAAGACCAGGCAGTCATAAGAAAGAATAAAATTCCATGTGGATTTATTTGGGAGCTGGGTGGTGGGCCCCCAAAAGAACAAAGAGTAAAAAACAACCAACAAGAAGGATATGGGGGGGGGGGGGGGCGTGTGCCCTTGAAAGAGACACTGAGTCTCTCTGCTTCCTGGCTGCCATGAGGAGCAAGCTTCCTACACCATCTCATTGGGATATGAAAGTTGCCACTGGTCCAGGAAACAGGTCCAGTGAACAAACCGTGACCCAAATCAATTCCTCCACCTGCTGTCACAGGAGCCTGAAATTTGGATAGTACATCCACTGATGTAGGATTCCCCCCTGTATGCTATGAATATGCTTTACTCCCGTTGGTTAATAAAGGATCTGCTTTCGGCCAATGGCTTAGCAGAGTAAAGCCAAGCAGGAAATCCAAACAGAGCATAGAGAGAGAGAAGTAGGAGTAAGGGAGAGCCATGGTAGCCACTGCAGAAGACCTAGTCGAAACTTTACCAGTAGGCCACAACCTTACAGTAAAATATAAAATAATAGAAATGAGTTAATTTACTTTATAAAAGCTAGCTAGACATATGCTTAAGCTATTGGCCAAACAGTATTGCAATTAATATAGTTTCTGTGTGATTATTTCGGATCTGGGCGGCCAGGGACAAACAAGCAGTCTCTGCCTACACATCCACCATATTCCTAAGTATGGGAACATAAAATTTCTCCTCTTGCACAACAAATAGAATTGGCCTACTCAAATATCATATCCTGAAATTACATAAAAGTTTGGCTGTGAATAATAACCCCTATATAACCACCATATGCCAAAGACGCTCTCTCCTCATCAATAAGTGAAAATCCAGGTACTGCAGGTTCTTACTGTCCCACTGTCAAATGCTCGGGAACTATAGTCCCACAGACGGACTGCGACCTGCTGCCGCCCACTCCTCTAGCCCTAGCCCTCCACCTAGTCTGAAGGGAGCACACCCTCACCAAGACACATCCAAGCCTAGCCTTGAGGGAGCTCCACTTGCTTCCTTCTGATCCCACCCTGCTGCTCCAGGAACTCTGCGTGTTCCTGTAAGCAGTCTCGTTCTGTGTTCTAATTTCTGAGTGTTTGTCTGCATGGAGGTACGCACACCACGTGCATGCCAGATGCCCACAGAAACTAGACAGAGCTGAACTGGAACCACAGGTGGTTGTGAGCCCCTGTGTGGGCACTGGGAAGCCAATGGATCCTCCGTAAGTGCAACAGTGTTTTAACCACTGAGCCAGCTCTCAAGCCCTGTCAATACATATGCACTGTAACCACACTGACTAAATGTGTCATTTTTTAAAGCCTTTTCACTACAGTAAGCTTATTTGTTTCTTACTGAATGCATCCAGAATTTATTTTTTTTATTTTTTATTTTATTTTATTTTTTTGGTTTTTCGAGACAGGGTTTCTCTGTGGTTTTGGAGCCTGTCCTGGAACTAGCTCTTGTAGACCAGGCTGGTCTCGAACTCACAGAGATCCGCCTGCCTCTGCCTCCCGAGTGCTGGGATTAAAGACGTGCGCCACCACCGCCTGGCTGCGTCCAGAATTTAAAACCATGAGAAATTTTTATAAAAACAGTGGTAATGTTAATAACAATGGAAACAGACTCAATGCCACTGAACCACACTTACTTAAATGGTAAATTTGTATTTTGTATATGTTTTATCACAACTAAAAAAAATCACAAAATACATAAATAAAAGTAAACTGATATGCTAACTAAAAGAAACTAGTTCCACTTATAGAAAAGGCAACAATTCCACTTAGAGAAAATTGTAGAAAAATTCAAAGTATTCAGACACAGGTTGATGGGATGAGCAAGGAGAAGGAACTGTATGTAACACAGGTTGATGGGATGAGCAAGGAGAACGAACTGTAACACAGGACATGGTGGAAATTACCACTGTAATATGGGGGTTACACAACCCTCGACATTTAAAACATCAAACTACACATTTAAATTTCACAAATTATGTGGGAAAAAAATGAGACCTAAAATGGTCCGACTCTGCTTAAATCATTTCTGAAATCAAACAGAAGTTCACTGAATATCAAAGATCAGTTATCAAAGCAGGACTAGCCCTAGTTCCACATCTGAGCCTAAAGCTCCTAACATATGAAATGCTGACGGGGCGGTAGCAGACAGGGTGGTAGGAGTTGTAGCAGAAATTCATTATCTCCTGCTGGACTATGGGCTCTAAACACTAACTGTGAGCGTCCAGACATCCGTAAAGGTGTATTTAAGGAGACTCTAACCAAGTGTCCAGCCACACTGTTCTCACTCTAGCGCGTCTTCTCTTTATAATCTGCTATGGATAAGATTATGATTCTCTCACTTCAAATTTCCTATACTTTTGTACATTGATAAGATAAATATCTGAATCTTAATTCTGAGGGCAGGGCTATTGATTTTGTGAAATAAACTTTCACCTTCTTGTTCCAAACAGAAATTGTTTGTAATATTTAACATTAATCTTGTTTATCATCTAAAACACTGGCTCCAGTTTAATAACCCACATATAAAGTTCTTGCACATACTATGCATATAGACATGACATGAAGCACCGTGAACAGGCTTACACAACAAAGCCTTCGCACAAGAACGTGAGTGGTCCCTCGATATATTGAACCATTTATATTTACTATTTTCACCTTCGTTTCTGTCTCGACTAGAAAAAGGTACATTAATAATTTACCAAATAACTTATAAAACTTCAGCTATAGCTACAGAAATAACATTTTCTCTCTTGACACAAAATAAGATTTTTAGAATTCTCAATGAAGCATACAAGCAAGGCCACATTAACAAGCCTAACATTCAGTCACTGCTCTCTGTAAGAAATGTGTGTGTACACTGTAGCTCTCATTTTCTGGAAATGCAACTTCTACAATCATCTTAGTGTCTCGGATGCACAACAACTTCTACAATCATCTTAGTATCTCGGATACACAACTTGGCCTTGGGTTCATTCAAGGCTATGCTATAAACTTCACCTATTCTGTGTGCCCATCGCTTTATCTCTGCAATGTCAGAGACTACCCTCCTTGTAAGAATCTGCTTTCTCGCTGGTAATGTTAGCTCCACATGCAGGTCTGTGGGAAAGTGAGTGTGGAGTCTGCGAAGGCCGCTCTCCTCTATAAACCTGCGTTCCTTCTGTTGACATGGTTTCAGCGTTCGCGGCATCAAAGCTGCAGCTGGTCCAAGCATGGTAACTTATTTTCCTTCCAAACAGACGGCACTGCACTGACAAGCCATTTCCATCTCACTGTGAAGAACTGTGTTTCTGTTCCATGCCTTGTGATTAAAGGTAGAACAAACTATTGCAGCTGGGCCATTTCAATATTATTTTAAAACATCCATTTTTCTTAACTGCCTTTACTGAGAAAAATACATGTTTACACTTTTGAATACAGATGGCGGTGTTTCTAAACTTTGCTGAGTAAAAGTGATGCCCATCCGTGCACCACTGCCTCCCAGTTTTTTAAGAATTACTCCCCGTCTTTGACAACTTTTCTCCTCTCCAAGTAAATGTAAGCATGCACTTTAACTCATAATTCAGTGTTCTGATATAGGAAGTCTAAGCTAGACTATTTCACAAAATATAGGCTGTCAACATTATGAAAGCTTTAAGTGCGCATATTCTAAATGTTGAGTAATAACCACTTTGCAAGAATCAAACACCAGCTGACGTCAGGATTACCCCCTATAAAAGAGATCCTACAAATCTAAAACGCAGCTGCACACTGCTTATTTCCTATGACTTAGAATATAGCATAAAAATATATTTATGTATATTTATATACAGACAAAAAAGAAAAACCAGGAATCATGGTGGCCACTGGGGAGTCTTACTGCTTCCCGCAGAGCCGAGCTGGGGAGGTGAGGAAGGCTACCAGGTCCTTACCCAGTGGTGCCGGTGCCGGAGCTCCCGGATGGTGCTTTCAGCCTGCTCCAGCTTAGCGCTGGCCTCATCACTCTGCTGTCTGATGCTGGCCAACTCCCGTTTTATGAGGTAGTTTTCCTCAGCCTCCTGGGCTCTTGTCACTTGTCCCTTAGGACATAATTTTTTGTGTGTGTATAAAGCAATTTAGAATAGATTTAAGAAAGACTGCCTTTGTGAGGTTTAGTTATTTTTTGACATGTTAAAAAAAAAAGACACCTTAGAGAATAGAATAGCCGAGGTAATTATTAGCTAGAAGCTTGTTATTTTGCTCCAGCAAATTTGAGGAAACAAAATGAAATTTTCAATTGACAGTCTTAAGAACAATTCTCTTACTTGATAAAAAAAAAAAGCAATTCATGCAATATTATGGAGTTGTACATGCAGGGCTAAAATGTTCAATGAACAGTGGTTAATGTCACAGAATCCACTGCTTATCATTTGAAATACTTTAAAAATAAGGTTAGCTTTAAAACGTGCAGAGAGGTAGGTATTCAATTAAAAATAGTACATTTACCAAAACATTACGTATACATTCATATGCCAGCCCAAAGAATTATTTTTTGGGAAAATGCATGTAAAATTGCATGCATTAAGTATGAACTTCTAAGTTTAGGATTTTCTTTAGAGGTTAGTGAAAATACTAAAAATAAAAAAGATAAAATAAAAAAACTATACCTGTATCAATCTATCTGCCAAGGAAGCACTTTCCTACAAAAGGAAAAATTTAGATAGAAATATAAAAAGACAGGAAATCAAAGTAATAAAATTAGGAATAAGAAACACCCACACCCAAATTCCATTTACTTTTCATTGCTAATAAAAATGGATACTTAAATTATTTTTTAAATGTATTTTTATTTTTAAATCTTAAAAAACAAATCAAAATAGGGACAGCTTATCATGTCTCTAAAAGAGATAAATCTTTCATTACTTAGGACAAAAAAGTATTTTTTTTCTTGAAAATGTACCTTTAAATATTTATTTCTAGGCCTAGTCACATCATCAAACCACTTCCAGAGGGAGGAAGGGATTCGGCTCAGCAGTACACCGCTCACAAACACAGCAGCCGCTGGTGCAACAGCACCAGAAAACGAGAAACGAGGCAACAAAGTAACAGGAATTCTTAAGTTCAACTTAAACTCTTAACAATAATCCAGGAAGTACACTTTCGGTTCAAGAATTCAACGAGATCTAAGTTCCTAAGAATTCTAACTGCTGTCAAAACTAAGGTCCCATGCCGTGAGAACGGGCACTTACCCTTCTAGACACAAAACCACACCTTCCTAGGTCTTCATTACTATTCTGAAGAGTCGATGAAATAATGCTTTCTCTGTGAAAGTATCTAACTCTAATAATGAAAATAATTTAAGTTGCATATTTTACTGCAAACTGGCTATCTGGCGAAAGCAGGAATAACACAAAGTACAAGGACTTGAGACGTTCGACACGTGTGTGGAATCACCGGAAAGTCAAACCGCTTTCCCAGCCGCTTCAATCCAATCGCACAAGAGGAGCTATCTGACTTGAGATAAGCATGGCGGTCAGTGCAGCATCAATGGCGTTGTAATGAATACCCTGTCCTGTGTGCAACTAATGTATATAAATATATATATATACATATTTATATATTATATATAAATAAATATATAATATATATTAATATAAAACCATGGAACATTGCCACCATCATTCTTTCTTGGATATCAATCTATAAACTTTTAAAGAAGATTTTAAATATAATTGGTCCTTGAGGAGCAGATACACACCAACTTACTCTCAACCTTTAGTTTTAAAAAAACACCTTCTGAATTCAACTGTTTTCAATTCAGAAAAATTGTTGGGCTGCTTTTTTTTTTTGAGACAGTTTCATGTAGCATAGGCTGGCCCGAAACTACACAAATGACTCTGACCCTCTGACCCTCCCTCTTCCACTTCCCAAGGGCTGGGGTTATGAACATGCATCACCATGCCCAGTTTATATGGTGCTGGGATTGAACTCAGGACTTAGTACATGCTACATGCCTAGCCCAAGAAGACTCTTACACTATATTAGTCAATTCATTCTTAAAAACACAACTACAAAATACATTCTATCGAAAGCATAATAAGAAAAATAGAAAATTTTCTTGCTTGCTAGTTATTTTACATGAAACAGAAAGGAAAAGCTAATGAGTAGATATAAGACAATTCTAACAACCATGGAGTCATAAAACTACTTAGTGTTGAAAATGAACATAAAAGCAGACTTTATCATCACTTTGACTAAATATAAAGTTTGGTGTGGAAGGCCTTAAAAGAGCCCCTGCCACGTCCAATGTGTGGCTCAAAATCTAGGGAACACTTAAAATTTATCTTTAAAACATCTGTCAGGATGTATTCCCACCTAAGTCATACTTTTTAGAGGACCTATGAGGAAAAAAGCAAATGGTATCAATATGTAATTCTATGATTACGTAGCGTGCTCATTGTGAGTGCGTAGCAAGAACAGTAAGCAGGGGAAGCTGAGGTGGGCACCTCACTTAGGGAACGTACATACCAAATTGTTTAGTTTGCTCTATTTAAACGGTAAGCATGGAACAGAAACTTGCAGTAATCATTTTACTCACTTTTTCTAATGTTTCAATGCGTTGTTTTAAAAGCCTGTTTTCTGTGCGTAACCTCTGTGAAGAAATAGAAAAAACGTTTATTTGCAAATATTCTCAAGAGGATTCCTAAGTCACAGTGTTAATAATGGGCCGCCTTTTATTAGGGTTAGGATTAGGGTTGGGTTGTAGATGCACACAGCCTTGTCTAATTTATTTTAGCATCTAATGAGATGATCATATTTTTTATATGATCATATTTTTGTTTATATGGATTACATTGACATATTTCCCTATGTTGAACCATCCCTACATCTCTGGGATCTGTGGATGATTGTTCTGATCAGTTCTTGGATTCAGTCTGCCAACATCTTATTGAGTATTTTTGCATCAATGTTTGATGTGGGAGTGTCATATATCAATCTGTCGATTTCATTGGTTAATTAATAAAGAAACTGCTTAGCCTGATAGGATAGAACATAGGTGGGTGGAATAAACAGAACAGAATGCTGGAAAGAAGGGAAGTTAGGCAGACGCCATGCAGCTCCTCTCCAGGGCAGAGGCAATGAAGCTCTGACCCAAGATGCACATAGGCTAGAATCTTCCTGGTAAGTCATCACCTCGTGGTGCTACACACATTAATAGAAATGGGCCAAGCAGTATTTATATGAATACAGTTTGTGTGTTGTTATTTTGGGGCATAAGCTAGCCAGGCGGCTGGGAGCTGGGTGGCAGGAACGCAGCCATCAGCTCCTACAAATGTTCATGAGGGAGACTGATCTATACTTTTCTTTCTTAGTTACATGTTTGCATGATTTCGGTATCAGGATAACTGTAGTCTTATAAAAAGAGTTTGGCAATGTCCCTTATGCTTCTATTAGATGCAGGGGGGAGGATGAAAGGGGAGGGGGAAGGGAGAGAGGAAAGAGGAGGAAGGAGAGAACATGAGGGATCTGGAGGGTGGAGTTGGGGGAAGGGCAGAGAGGGAGGGCAAGGAAAGAGATATCTTGATAGAGGGATGCATTATGGGGTTAGTGAGAAACCTGGCACTAGGGAAATTCCCAGGAATCCACAAGGATGAACCCAGCTAAGAAACTAAGCAATAGTGGAGAGGGTGCCTGAACTGGCCTTCCCCTGCAGTCAGATTGAAGACTACCTTAACTGTCATCATAGAACCTTCATCCAGTAACTGATGGACGCAGATGCAGAGATCCATAGCTAAGAACTGGACCAAGCTCCTGGAGGCCAGTCGAAGAGAGAGGAGCAATAATATGAGCAAAGGAGTCAAGACCTTGGTGGGGAAACCACAGAAACAGCTGACCCAAGCTAGCAGGAGCTCACTGGCTCTGGACTGACAGCTGGGGAACCTGCATAGGACTAAACTAGGCCCTCTGAATGTGGGTGACAGCTGTGTGGCTTGGACAGTTGGTGAGACACCGGCAGTGGGACAGTATACATCCCTAGTGCATGAACTGGCTTTCTAGAGCCCATTCCCTATAGAAGGAGACCTTGCTCAGTCTAGTCACGGGGGGAGGGCCTTGGTCCTGCCTCTATGTGATGTGACTGACTTTTTGAGGCCCCATTTGGGAGACCTCACCCTCTCTGAGGAGTGGATGGGGGGGGGGGTTGGTAGGGGGAAGGTGGAGGGAGCAGAAGGAGAGGAGGGGAGGGGAGGGGAAGGATTACTATTGTAAAATTTAAAAAAAAAAGATTGTTTTAAAAAATAGAAAGAAGGGGAGGGAGAGGAAGGAAGGAAGGAAGGAAGGACGGACGGAAGGAAGGAAGGAAGGAACCACCCCCAGCCCAAAAAAGAACTCTTTGGCTTGACCCAGAGGGATGGGCTCTACAGTAAAGCACTTGCCAGCATGCCTGATGGCCTGAGTTTAATCCCTAGGGCAGGCATGGTAGAAAGACAACTACCAACCTGCAAGTCGCCCCCTAGTGCACCATGACGTGTGACACATGCCCACGCACACACACAGTCATACACAAATAAATAACACACATGAGCTGACAGCAGGAAGACTGTCAGTCTTTCCCGGGCCACATGGCAGACGCCTACAGCTTTCAACACTTGGGAGGTGGAGGCACTAGGGTCTGAGACAGTCAAGGACACAAGTCTTAGGCTTTTTTGAAATTTTGGGAGACATGTCTGAGTTTACTTAGTTTTTCTACTGATACAGGTTAACCCATTATACTAGATATGTATGATCTTATCTACATTATTACAGAAACTAGTATTTTCTAAATTAAAAAGGATGTTTTTTGATTACAGGAGGGACAAATAAAAATATCAGACTACAAAAAATATATTTATTCGTCCTTCAAATTGAAAATCTACCTGCTTCCTGACAGTAATTCAAAGCACAATATTTGCTTAAGGAAAATTCTGCATGGCTAAGGGATCCTGCCATAGCACAACAGACAAATTAGTTCACCAATGCTGCCTCCTACACAGTCGGCCGCAGATCACTCCGCTCTGACTCCAGCACACAGCTCTACACTCCAGCACACAGCTCTAGACTCCAGCACACAGCCAGCTCCTCTACACAGTCGGCCGCAGATCACTCCGCTCTGACTCCAGCACACAGCTCTACACTCCAGCACACAGCTCTAGACTCCAGCACACAGCTCTAGACTCCAGCACACAGCCAGCTTCTCTACACAGTCGGCCTCAGATCACTCCACTCTAGACTCCAGCACACAGCCAGCTTCTCTACACAGTCGGCCTCAGATCACTCCACTCTAGACCCCAGCACACAGCCAGCTTCTCTGCAAGTTTCACAATTATGTTTAAGCAGAATGCAATTTCCAGGGTCTGTTTTCACTTCAAGAGGAACTAGAAAAGAAAGATCTGTTTCTTCTCACGTCATCCTACTATGAACTACAGGAGGATGCCAGTAAATACAAATTTCACTCTAACATCTACTATCAAATTCCTGACTTAAAGGCATGCATCTGCAGCGATCTTAACCCTGGAATGCTTACTTTAATTTCAACTTGCTCTTCCATCTCTTTCGTTTTTATCGTAGTGTATTCTTTTTCAAGTCTAGAAAGAAAAGAGAAAGTTAAAGGTATGCTTTCATTCAAAAGCAATTAAATTATTTAATTTAAAAGGGCATATTAACATAAAATATATTTCTTTACTTTTCCTCGAGGTATAATTTGAAATAATTTATATGAGAAAAAATAGCACAGTAGTCAAATGGGCAGAGGAGGAAAGGTCAGAACCACTGTAGGTGACCCGACCCGTGGAGAAAACACTCCGGTACACCCTGCACAAATGACATCACTGATAAGCTGTGGAAGTCATGTAGCAAGGAAAGCAGACGACTTTATTTTATACCAATGGGCATGAGATATCAGGAAATATGGCATCACGGTTTCTGTACTTTATTTTATAATTTCTAAGAAGGAAAATAAATATGGCAAAGTATTAACAATTGCTAAAGTTAGATAGGAAATATGGATATTTATCATAATAATCTATTTTTTGGTATATCTGAGTATTTTCCTGGTTGAAAAATAAAGTTAAAATATGGTGTGAAGCTAAGCTAATGACTAAAAACTATTCATTCCTTTAGAATTAAACTTCATAAAAACTCTATTGGTTTTGCTTTGGTACTTTTAAGTCAAAACTCAGTGAAATTGACCTTAGAGCAAAGAGAATAAAACATATTTAAAAGGCCAGGCATGGTGGCATACCTGTGACCCCAGCACCAAGAGGGAAAATGAGGCATTGGCCTGGAGATTAATCTGGGCTACAAAGTAAGACCACGTCACAAATAACACAGAGAAAGGGCTGGGGAGATGGATTTGCAGGCAGAGGCACTACCAAGTCGGATGACCTGTCTGTGAGTGCAGACATACAGAACACATAAATGTAATTTAAAAAACAAACAAATAGAGCCTAAAGATAAAATACAGAAGGAATAATTTATAGACTGAGGACCTGGAGAAGACCGAAATATCTTGTACTCAGAATATTAAATTAATTGGTTTAATTAACTATATTAAGTAATATAAGGGAACAAAATATTTTATTTTGAAAAAGGGAGGAGACCAGATAAGGTGGCCATATCTTTAATCCTATTATGTGGGAGGTTAAATAGGACTGTCAGAGTTCAAGGCCAGCCTGAGCTACAAACTGAGATACTGTCTCAAAAGAACAACAAACGTACTATTACAAGCCCCGCAGTTTAGAAACATGTTATATGGCAGAAGCCCCATTGATGTGAATTTTAACTATCACCTTAGGCTAAGGACCATTTAAGTACTGAAAGCTAGAAAAGAGTTCTAATAGCTGTAATTCTTAATACACTAACATTTTTAAGAGAAAAAAAAATTAAGCCAGGAACTGCGACTGATCTTGAACTTGTTTGTTTACTGAAACCTGTGCCACACAAAGCTCCTCCAGGAAATAAGAATAAAAAGATGAAAATCTCAACCTCTCCTCAGGGCTGCACTCAAGCAGCCCTGGGATGGGGCTGAGAGGAAACCTATGTCAGGGGAACGACTAACTTTGTTTTTAAGTAAGAAGGCTTGGTGTACAACCTGGTGGTAGAGTGTGAGCATGTACAATGCCTAGAGCCAAGAGTGATAATCATAAATATTAGAGATAGCAGCACACTTACACACGTCTAGCTACCATCAGGAAGAAAGGAAGGGGTTTAAAAGCAGCGTGCAGTGGTCCTGTGTGTCACTACTGAAAGCAGGATGATAGTCTAACGTCACCCTTGCTGTACTAAAGCCAATACTACCAAATACGGTGAAAATTTTACAGCCTGTGGAGGGAAAATGTGGGGCTTTTCACAGGGACACCCCACGTCTACTGACCTGCCAAATGCCTCAATAAGCTCCATAACTACGAGATCACACAAAATACTTACTTTTTCATTTTTTTTGAGTTGTATTTGACTTGGTAAGCTGACTGGATCAATTTGTCTGGGCCACCATCAAACTGATGTGGAACGACCTTCTGAAAATGCTAAGCAATAACAAATGAAAGCAGAATTATTACTATAAATGATTTATTAATGGCAAATCTGGAAACATACAAGAAATCATGAACTTACCTGCAACATCCCTTCCATGTCAAGTTGCATTAATTCTGTCTGATTCATTTGAAGAAGAGCTACTCCGACTCGAAACACTATTTCTAAACCCTGATGACACAAATAAAATAAAGCCAAATTTGTTTATGCTTCCATCGACAAAAACTAATCATTCAAAATAATACCAAGGTAAGCATTTAAAGATCTAAACTAAGAACTGGCAAACACTCTGCCAAGGGCCCGAGAACAAGTATGGTCCACTTGGGCTTCACAGCTGCTCTTCCTACCGTGCAGCCCACACCAGACACACGCACAAACAGGCAGGGCCGTGCTCTAAGAAAACAAACGGAGGACAGCTTTGATATGGAAACCAGAGCTGAGTAAGTAATGAACTATTGATTGCCAACTTCAGTCCTAACTAAATTAGATAAGTCACATAAACTGACAACCCAAGTGCCGCGGGAAAGCCTTCACTAAACTAAAGTTAGATGCAGTTTAACTACCGGAATCCTATAGTGCTGTGGAAAAGCCTTCACTAAACTAAAGTTAGACGCAGTTTAACTACCTGGAATCCTATAGTGCCGCGGGAAAGCCTTCACGGCAGAGAGCAGTTGAACTACAGGAATCCTGTCTCACTATGACAGCATCGACCGTGTGGGGGAATCCACTTCTCATTTACTCTCCCTGTATCTTTAAGGTGATGAAGACGATGAATTTGGAGAGAAGATCCAAAACCTAACTGCATATATCTGAATCCTGGACACAGTCCCAAGTCACGTAACATCCCTGTAAGCCTCAGCTCCCATCTATCTCCTAACAAATGGGCGTGGCCACAACCTAACCAGGAAGGTTGTTATGAGGGCTGAACGAGATTAACTCATGGAAGCATTGCCGTGGAGACACAAGGACAGCTCTCTCGTTCCTCCTTGTACCACCCTGCTCTAATTAACCCAATGATTCCTTTATTCTGTCCTTATTCCTAATCTGCTCATTAGCTTACCTCAGACATAAAGATATCGAATATCCTTGTTGCGACTGGTAATGGGAATGTTGTCAGAAAGATGGTCAGAAACCAGGATGACGCATACATTGACGTGTGGAAACTCTGAGACTGGAAATGTACAGAGAGCTCTGGAAGATGCTCCTGGCAGAGAGAAGAATTAGTTACAATAAAATAAACTGAGGATTTCAAGCCAGATTATCTGTAGGTAAGCCTACAGCAAACAGAAAGAAGATCAAGAATAACAGAAAAACGCAAATACAGAAATGAAACTTTGTCGTAAGCAGCAAAGGACAAAGCAATGACCTACAGCTGGAACATCAGGTACATCTTAACATTTGATTCACTAATAAGAAAAACTACATCATAGCCAAGTTAAACTTAAACCAAGTATCATCATCCAACCACTCACTGAGCAGCAAAGTAATAAAATGTTTATTTCTTTCCATCTTGTTGGTGAGTACAGCTATCCAATATCTTCTATATTTTTGCTATAATATTTCTTAGAAATTTCTAAGTAAATGCCATGCTGAAACTTTTAAGTACCATATACCATCAGCCATCAGTCTTTGCCTCCTACAGAGTAGGAAAAATACAAGATCTTCAACAATGTCTTAACTCCTAGCACATCAAGAGTGTGAGGTTTGTATCAACAAACAAAATTACTATTTCAGAAAACAGTTATCACATGATGTATTCTGGTTTTCTTAAAATGTAAAAACAATTTCATATCCCATTCTTCATACAACACAGGATTTCGTACTTCCAGAGGAAGTGGTTGAAAACTGCTCCGTGTGCCAAAACGACGACCCACACCTAAAACTCTTCGCATCCAGCTGGAACGCAAACAAAGGAGACCACTCCTACCTTCCTACTACAGGATAGCAAAGTAAGGTTATTTATTTTAAATGAAATTTAAAATTGAAGAAATAAAAATTAAATCCAGAAAAGTAAAAATTTCCAAAGATGTTTTCGCCGGGTATGGAGGCACACACCTTTAATCCCAACACTCAGGAGGTAAAAGCAGGCAGATCTCTGTGAGTTTATGGCCAGTGTGGGCTACATAGCAAGTTCTAGGCCAGCCAAGGCTACACAGTGAGGCCCTGTCTTTAAAAAACACTAATCAATTTGCACTTGACTGATCCCAGTCTTCCTTTCCTCTTCACCTTGACGTGTTGGCTTCTAGACAATCTCAATCTGAGGCTGGTCACATCAAATTATGGAAACATGCAAAAAAATCATTAGATTGGGGGCCAAGATGCAAAGAGAACGGAGGGAAGGAACATGACAGTGCGGAGTCTCCACAGTGAGCTGGCTCCCCACACGAGCACTCAGAACAGCACACAGCAGGAGCAGGAGCACAGCACCTAAGTACTCAGCACTCAGTACACAGCACCTAAGTACTCAGCACTCAGTACATAGCACCTAAGTACTCAGCACTCAGTACACAGCACTCAGTACACAAGCACGCAGAACAGCACACAGCAGGAGCAGAAGCACAGCACCTAAGTACGGCGCACTTGAGGCCTACGCTGAACGTTTCTAAGAGCCCCAGCATGACCAACTGTCACCATGGGATGAGATCACTGACTGCGTTCTCAACTGATGCTATGCTTCTTTAAATGTGTTTAAGAATTTTGCTTGCATTTACCTATGTGCACGGTGTGTGCCTAGTGCCCACACAGATCAAAAGGCGGCACCAGAACCCCTAGAACAGGAATTACAAACAGTTGGAAGCCACCACGTGGGTGCTGGCAATCAATCCAGGTTCTCTGCAAGAGCAGCAAAGGTGCTTTTAACCACTGACCCATCTCTCTCTCCAGCACTTGCTTCTATGATTCTGACGCAGAATTTGCTAAGATCACATTGAGAAAGGGGTAAAAAGGTAAAGCGAACATTTACCTGTATCATGCATTCAAACTGGTACATACAAAGGCCCAATTCTGCCATGCTTGGTTTAAAGAGTTCACGAAGTCTGTAGTCTTGCATTAATTTAACAAACACACAAAAAGCTTCTTCTTCTGGCATCTATTTTAAGAAGAAAAAATAGTAACACAGTTCAACATTTCCCAATACACAAGTAAGCCAAATCAAATTATAAACAAAGTACCACTCAATAACAAAGTTTCTTTTCATTTCTTTGAAGTGTATGTGTTTGCGTGATCAAGTGTTCACAGAGGCCAGAGGTCATCCCTCAGTGCCATTCCTTGGACTCCATACATCCTGTTGTCTTGAGACAAGCTCTCTCGGGTCCTGACTCACAGAGCAAGCCTTCCTAGCCGAGTGCACACATCACCACACTAGGCTTCTTTACGTGGACTCTGGATGCTGAATTAAGCCCACAGTGAGTGCTTTCAGCTGTCAGAGTGCAGTATAAAGAGCAATGGATAAGAATCAGGACGTTCCAGGCTTCCATTCTGAGAATCAGACAATGACTCTTGCAAATTCTGAGACTAACTGCCTCAACTTGTCTAATTCATTAACTTAATCAAATGTGTGTATGTGAATTTATACATGTACGTGTATATGTGCATACATACATACACACATACGTCTACGGTCATGCCACCCTAAATAGGACCTATTTCATCTAACCAACAAGTATTCATTTATACCTACATACTGTTCTCTTTCTAAATATAAGAACAGCAAGGAAAACATTTAAGCTTTACTCAAGAGGAGCTTTCTAAGATAAACAGGTTATGTGCCTAAATCATAGCTATGTCAGTGGTGATGAACGCTATGGAAAATAAACTGGAATAAGAGAATGCTGGGAAGACAAATGTTCTCTATGTAAGTCGGGAATGGACCTAAATAAAACAAATGAGGAAAGGAAATTCGAGACCATCTGAGAAAGAACAGTCTTGGAAGACAGAGAGTACGAAGGCCCTAGATAATGGTCCCATAGGCTCATATATTGAATGCTTGGTCCCAGTTAGTAGATCTAGAAAGGACTAGGAGATGTGGCCTTGTTGGGAAGAGGTGTGGCTTTGTTGGCAGGTGTGTCAACAGCCCACACCACGTTCTCTCTCCCCACTCTCCACCCTCCCCCTCACTTTCCTCCCCAGAGCCATAGCTGTCTGCCTGCCTGTTCCCACACTCCCCACCAGGATGGTCATGGACTCCGAAACTGCAAGCCCCATTTAAATGCGTTCTTCTATAAATTACCTTGGTCATGGTGTCTCCTGACAGCAACAGATGCTGGCATGCTTGGTCAGTAAGCAGGAGACACTAAAGTCAAGTTATCCCCTTGTATACAGTGAAACCTACACAAGAAGTACTTAACAGATGCCAAGCACAGAATATAAATTAATGAGATTAAGCTTACATTGCTTTTAAAAGTTTATGAGTAAAGGAGTTTAAAGAAGAAAAAAATGAAACCACACACACAGGCTCTGGAAGCCACACTGTAATTTTTTACTTTGCCCTTAAGACAACTGGAAAGCTTTGGGGATTCTGCACAGAAAAGACACACAATGTAATTACCAAAAGAACTTCTATGCTTTAAAATTATCTGCAACTGGGTTTTAAAAGTATAAATCACTAGGAAATATTCACTAAGAAAATAACTCAAAAGGCATTCAAAACTCAGGCAAAGCACCCACAAGGGTAGATAACTTTCTCAAAATAATACAGTTTTCTAATCTTCATTTATAGTCTGTGAATGAATTTCAAAAGAGGATGTCCCCCAAAGGTCTCTCAGTACCTCTTACTGAAGACAGTCACAGTTGTGCTGTGGAGACCATCCCCAATAATTCAAGTCCTAAAGCCCCACTGACACGTCAATGGCGCAAGAGGCACGAGATCCCAGATCTCCAGACTACACCGTTCTCTTAGTCCCTCTGCATCTCGATTTCCAAACTCCCACTCTGATGCTCTAAGGCATTCTCCAGGATTCCCATCTTTCCGAAGGTCCATCTGAAACACGCTGGGCCTCCACAGACTTCTGGGTCACTGTTCTACCAACTCCTTAGTCATCGGCACTGAAACAAATTCTAGCTTTTGACCTCCTTTCCTCCAGGGAGCATGGCAGGCAGTTACTATCTCAGCCTCCACAGCCACTCCAAAGGCTAAAATCAGTTTTCTACTTCTTGTGTGGCCATTTCTCCAAGACTGAAACACACTCTTGTGGAGGGGCAGGACTCGGAAGACTCAAGGCCTCTTACATAGCCTCCTGATGTTACACAATCAGGGACCAACTGGAGCAAAAGAAAACTTTGGTGTATAGCCACCTCACAGGAAACTCCAACTATGCAGCTCCACAAGCTGCAGCAACATGCACTCTTCAGGGAGGAAAACATTCATCTCTAGCATCTAGAGTCTAGACACTCAGCAGAGATGAATACTGTTATTTCAAAGTTAATATAAAAGAAAAAGGAACAGATTTGTGGTAAAAATCACTAGACTGATAATAATTGTATTTGACTTTAATAGTAAAAAGATCTACTACTGACAACCATTTATAAATCAGGACAATCAGGACTTTGTGGATGCTCTAAATACATCAATATTAATATAGCTACTTTTATGCCATATACATTATAGCCCAGATTTAGTTAACATGGAAAAATATCCTAGAATCACCACTGGAGTTCTTACTACACACGGTAAGTAGTAGCTAGCTTGTTCATACTGTGCCCTGAACGGAGGGATGGAGACCAGGGACAGAGCAAAAGAAGAGCAGGTGCACAGTGCGTATAAGGCCCTGGGCTCCATTCCCAGCACCTGAGCAACAGACAAACTGAAGAGAACGGGGATGAAGAAGGGAGTCCTGACACGGAACTTTTAAAGTCAGATAGTAAGGAAGTAAAATACCAGGAGATTTTATTCCCACTCTGCTTTCATCTACTCAAGATGGACAAAAGCCACTGAAGTTTTACTACATGCCTCACACGTGCTATACACCACGCAGACTCACACCTACAGAACTCTCGCAAAGCATCCAGACAAAAACAAGGCCATCTGAAACGGGAGTCTAAGCTCACAGGCTGAGTGCAGAACTGAGATACAAACCGCAGCCCACACACTTCAAATCAAGCCACTTTCAGGACTAAGTTCTGAGACTACATAAAAAGTTAAATAAGGAAATTTTCATCAAGGCTAAGAAGATGAATGTATACACCATTTCCCTTTCCAATTTTTTTTTTCGTGGTTTTTCGAGACAGGGTGTCTCTGTGGTTTTGGAGCCTGTCCTGGAACTAGCTCTTGTAGACCAGGCTGGTCTCGAACTCACAGAGATCCACCTGCCTCTGCCTCCCGAGTGCTGGGATTAAAGGCATGCGCCACCACCACCCGGCTCCCTTTCCAATTTTAATTGCCATATTCCTAAATTCTAGGAGCATGCTACCCAAACCACTCCCAAATCAGTCAATGCCAATGTTGTATCCCTGGGACAGTAAAGGCAGCTGAGTATGATATAAATAACAAGCTGATGGTAAAAGCCTTGTTAACCAATAATCTTTAAGAGGTGGAACCTAGTTTAGGTGTGGCTTTCTGGGACCAGGAGATAAAAACCTGTGCACCACCCAGGAGTGCTTTGTGTAGTTTCCCCCGTGGTCAAGCAGGGCCTGGATCTTCTGTGCCTGTGGCGTGAGTTTTTTAATATATTTTATTTATTATAAGAGTCTATCTTTAATCTAGCCTGGTTATTTCCATATCAAGGTAACAGCAACAGTAAGCCTATAGCTAAATGATATATAACACTCCTAAGTATATTTCCAAACATGTTCATAACGTAAATAAGATTTTGTAAGAAACTTTTATTCTTACTTTTGGTTGGAAAAAGATTACTCCCAATGAAATGTTGACAAGTAAAATTTTAAAAAAATGTAACAAGTTCTTGTAGAATATCTTGGTACAATTGTATATATTAAGAAATGAGCCAGGTGGTGGTGGTGCACTCCTTTAATCCCAGCACTTGGGAGCCAGAGGCGGGTGGATCTCTGTGAGTTCAAGGACAGCCTGGCCTACAGAGCTAGTTCCAGGACAGGCTCCAAAGCCACAGAGAAGCCCTGTCTAAAAAACCCAAAGGGAGGGGAGGGAGGGAGGGAGGGAGAAGAAAAAAAGAAGTAAGTGGGGTTGGAAAGACTGTTCAGCTGTTAGATCTCATCTTAGTTCGAGCCCCAGCACCATGTCGGGCAGCTCAGAAGTGCCTGTAACTCCACCTCCAGGAAATTCAGTACCCACTTCCAGCCTCCACAGGCACTACAGACATGTGCACAACCCCCCCCCCCATACACACACACACATAATTAAAAATAAAAATAAAATATTGAAAAACATAAGAAGAGGCAGAAGCTGGGGGAGCTAGCAAGATGGCTCATCAAGTAAAGGCACCTGTCAAGACCAATGGCCTGAGCTTCATTCCTGAAGTCCATATGGTGAATAAGAACCAGCTCCTGCAAGTGGTGTCTGATCTGCATACACTTGGGCACACACATAGTGTATGTAAAAAGTACTTGTAATTATTTTTCTTTTATTCGAGACAAGGTTTCTCTGTGTGGCTTTGGTGACTTCCTGGAAGTAGTGCTGGGATTTAAGGCATCACCACCACTGCCCAGCATAAGGGGCTGGGCCTGCAGCTCAGTGATACAGCATACAAAGCCTGGGTTCAATTTGCAAAGAAGAAGGAAGTAGGAGGAAGGAAAAAGAACAGAGGGAGGAAGAGGAGTGCAGGAGCTGAAATCTCATTTGGTGGCAAGAGTATTACTGTATGTCATTTTACTTTCAAAGTGCCAAAGTAAATCACTATGTACACTACGTTTAGGGAGATGACACAAATCTGCTTAACTCAGGAAAACCAGAGACGGTTTTTTAATTCTCCAGTTGACTTTAAGAAATGTAGACACATTTACAAGAGCTAGTTCCAGGACAGGCACCAAAGCTACAGAGAAACCCTGTCTCAAAAAACCAAAAAAAAAAAAAAAAATGTAGACACAGTTGCAGCTTGCAGGCGTGAACTCACCTGCATAAGCAACAGTCCCACTATGAAAGCACTGCCTTGACAGTAGCCAACCTCACGGTCCACCAAGGAGTAGGCCTGGAAAGTAAAACATGGTGTTCAAAACATTTCAACGTGTATATTCTATCTCCCTTCTCCAAAACCTAAAATTGGTGACACAGTTAAATTAAAAGTTCATTTATTTGTTCACAAAAGCTCTTGCTTACTTGTTACAGATGTTATTCTATAAATATTTAAAAAGCAAATGGTTTATTACATAAAATTTCTCTGGACAATTTCTCACTTAAAAATGGCAGCTCCTAAGAGCAAAGGAAATAAAGCAAGTCATACTCAGAAAAGCAACAGCTATCGGACAGAGATAAACACAGTACAGTGACGGCAAACAACAAAATTCAAATAACTTAAGAAACTGGTGGTATTTCACAGAGGAAAATGGGGGGGGGGAACTGTGAAAATGCAATATTAAAAAGGCAACAGTAAATTTTTAAAGGGCTGAGCACGCTTAACAAGTAAAGTCACTATCGCAGACCACAAGGTTGATGCATATGAAGTATCTACTCTCACACTGCAAAGGCCGGCGAGAGGAGATTAGTTTTTGTCAACTAACACTAAATAATGTGATAAATTTTTCAATTAGTTCTCCAAACTATCGACAATGAAGCATCAGAATTAAAGCAGAAAGTATACTAAAACTAAGTCTACCAACCAAGAACCTGAGTTCATGCTTCATTATGGAAACATGTAATATCAACCTCCTTCAAACTCACTTCACTTCAAAACATGAGTAACTAGCACTTACCTTCATCACGTTAAATAAAACCTCCTGTCCAAGGCTGTCTTTTTCCTTAAAAAAACTGTGCTCTGGGTAAGTTCGAGCAATGTCTCTTCGGATCAGTTTTTCACAAGGTGAAGTCATTTTCAGGAGTTCTGAATACTGGTCCTTAATTGACATACTCTGTGCGTTACATAAAAGCTGCCAAACGATTGCTCTGAAGTGGTGGGGTATCCCTTTACGAACAAGCTCCTGAAAATGAAAGGAAAACACAACGTAAATGTCTCACACTTGCTACCCAACCGCTCTGGGGTCTCAGAGTGTTTATAATTTACAAAGCTTGTTTACTAGCAAATACGAAATTCTTTAAAGAAGTCTAAGATGTGACCCTTGGGTACGTTCTGATCAGGAGGAGCTACAGAGCCATGGATAAACCGTAGTCTGACTGGGAATGTGGGGACTTAAGGACCTGTCAGTCCACTTATCAAAGGGCTGCTGGGGAGAAAAGGCAAATACTGATACAGAATGTCATGACTTCATTTCTGAATTAACAACATGGGAGTTTAACTGATTTCTAATAATAATAATAATTGTGAATATCTACAATTTCAGGATCCCTACAACAGCCCACAAGCACAGATGATAACCACATATAAAGCAAACCTGTTCGCAACATAGCTCCGAAATTCCTAGAATCCTTCTGCTTTTCCTAATTCCCTACTTAATCCACACCTGGTCCTCTCCAGGGTAAAGAAGAGAACTTCAGTGAAGAACGCAAATACCTTCACTTGCTTCTCTTTTTTCTTGCGTGCATCATCCCATTCATTCACAATTCTTCCCCAAAGAATCCAAGAGTCTTCTTCCAGGTGACTGAGGTTGCTGGAGGCAGAGGAACTTGATACAAGAGAAGAGCCACTGTTTCTTCTTGACCCATTCACAGATCTTAAAGACTTGCTATCCGTCTCTATCAAGCTAAAACAGAATTAAAACTGTTTAAGTATCATCTCACATAAAACTAGATGAAGTAGGGATTGCATTTAAAACTTCACTAAATAATTCGTCTTTAAAACATGGGTTTTAAAACATATTTAGTTAGTTGGTTAGTTTTCTGAGACAGGGTTTCTCTGTGTAGTCCTGACTGTCCTGGAACTCACTTTGTAGACCAGGCTAGCCTCAAATTTAGAGCTCCTCCTGCCTCTGCCTCTGCCTCTGCCTCCCGAGTAGATTGAAAGCATGCACCAGCAAGCTGGCTTTCAGATACAGTTTTAACAATTTTTGTTTGGTTGAAATCAGCACTGTTGTATTTTTTTACTATACACAGCAGTTTCAAACACTGAATTGGGAAGGTGTACTACACGCATTCTAGTACTATCAGCCCCATTATAATTCATATTCATTTCCACTGAGTTCAACGGGAGGCTCCTGACTCCACACGTGAGTGCACACACAGCAGAACAGACTCCCCGCACCCTCCTGACTCCACACGTGTGTTGCAGGAACCGTCCGTCCCTCCCACACACACATGTACACCAAATACTTTAAGAAAAAAACCAAGAAGGGAGCCCAGCACAGTGGTGTTCAACTACTCAGGAAGCTGAGGCAAGAAGTTCACTTAACCCCAAGAGTTTTTAAGACCAGCCTGGACAACACAAATGAAAACAGTTCAAGGACCAAGGAAATGGCTCAAGAGGTAACAGTACTTGCAGACGACCCGAGTTCAACCCCTGGGACTCACATGGTAGAAGTAGAGAACCAATTCCCACAAGTTTTCTTCTGATCTCCACACGTATGCCCCCTCCAATCAATCGATCAATCGATAGATAGATGTAACTTTAAAATGTTTTAAATTCTGATTAGTAAATGGGGGTGGGAGGAGGTGGCCCCAAGAGAGAAAGGACATATATTTGTAAAAGATTCAACAGAATCTACGGATTTACTAATCCTTAAATCCTACCAAGTATACTGTGTGACCAGACCTAAAAAGTAATGATCAACCAAATCCCTTCTTTTTTTTCCCTGTTTCACACATGTATAACTCATCTATACACACACACACGCGTGCGCACAGACACACACACTTACAAATATACATTGTAAAGATATGGCCAGACCAGGCCCCAATTCCTAGTCAGTAGTAACAGGATCACAGCAAGCACCCACTCTCAGTACTCCCTCGGCCCACAGTCCAGGTTAACCGATAGCATTGACCATCACTAGCTTGCTGTAAAGCTGGGGTTTTTCTCTTAAGATTCCTGTTGACTTCTGAGTTTGCAGCCCTGTCTTAGGCTCCTCTCTAAAGAAAGGTGATTAAGGGAATGAAAACCATCTATTCCATAAGTCATTACAATAGTAAGTCCCTAATTTCAATTGCAAACTCATGGGTTATAAATGAAGTCTAGGAAATGCACTATAAAAATATAAATTATAAATGGTTCAGATAGGAAGAACCTAAAATGTTTATTTAATTCACTTCAGTAAATTCTCAAGATCAATCATCTGTTTGGGGCATACAAATGTTCTCAGTACTATTTTAAGAAATATGAAAAGTGAGGCTGAAAAAGAAACATGAGTCGATTCCTATACCTTCTGGAAGTCAGACAGATTTATAATACATGCTACAGCCCTAATAGTATTTAGCCCACTGCAAGCACATTAAGCCAAAAGAATGTTATAATCTCAGAGTTTTGAAAACCCTGTACATTCTAGATATGCCACAATGTATGAAACCATATTATAAATTATAAAAACAATTTTTGTCCTTATTTGGAGAAAAATACTATATTTCCATAGCAACAATAATTTAAATAACTTTAAATTTTCCCAAATATTGTTATAAACGAAGCAGAAGGGAAGATAATGAAGTGGGCGATAAGCACCTGAAGAAGATTCGATGTCTTTAGACAATGCAGAAATGTAATTTAAACCACACCAACTACACATTAACACAGCTACAACTCTCAAGTCTCATCATACAAAATGTCAACCAGCACAGAGCGAATGTGACTCCCACAAACCAGTATCCGAAGTATAAAATGGACACGAACCTCCATTTCCTGGGACCCCACCAAACACTGCAGCAGACACAGCTCCCCCTTCGTGTGGGACCACAACCAGCCTGCAGGATACCCGCTTACAACTACACCCCATCTTTCTGTGTGCACAGGATTCCCTTGGATCTTGCCCGAAGCTGCTGCCTTTGCTCCTAGCCCACCTCTCTTCCTCTCTGCCACCCACTGACCTATGAAGCACTCCCTCAGTACCACGGAACCCACAGCTACCACACTCTTCTAAGACCCAGAGAAGGCAGCAGAAACCAAGGAATGGAGCAACACTCATTCAACAAAAACAAGACCAGATATCAACATCTACAGGCAACTCAAACACCCTAACCCCAGATGCCTAGACACAAACACAAATGGCCAAGCCAAGATGCCTCCAGCAGAACCCAGCAGGACATGAGAAAGGCAGGACTTCAAAGTAGCAATTATGAACATTTTTAAGGACCCCAAAGAGAATATGAGTGAATCCCTTAGTGAAGTCTATGGAGACACAAACAATAGAAGGAAACAAATAAAACTGTTCAAGACCTGAAAGTGCAAACAGAAGCATAAAGAAAACTCCAGTGGAAAAACACCTGAATCTCCATGGAAATTCTAAAAGCCAGAAGGGCCCGAGGGATGGATGTTCTACAAATTCTAAGAGATCACAGATGCCAGCCCATATGACTATATCTAGCAAAACTATCAATCACAATATATGGAGAAAGAAAATTTTCATAATAAAACCAAATTTAAACAGTTCCTATCTATCTTACCAATTCAGCTCTATAGAAGGTGTCACAAGAAAAGCTTCAACCTGAAGAGGTTACTCACACCCAAGAAAACACAAAGAATACATATTCCCAAACCAGAAAACCGAATGGAGGATGAAAACGCTACACTATAGCAACAAAATAAAAGGTATCTATAAACACTTCTCCCTGAAAACTCTCAATATTAATAACTCTCAATTTCCCCCAATAAAAAGGCATAGACTAACAAGATTAATTAGAAAGCAGGATCCACCCTTCTGCTGCATTCAAGAGTCACACTTTAATATCGAGGATAGATATTGCTTAGGGAAAAAAGATAGAAAAACATACTTTAAGCAAATAGAACCAATAGGTAAGCAGGTATAGCCATTTTAATATCTGACACAGTAAGCCTTCAAAACAAACTAATCAGAAGAGATAGGGAAAGAAGGACACAACATTCTCAAGGAAAAATCCACCAAGAGGACACTGCAATTCTAAACATGCATGCACCAAACACGAGGGCAGAAAAGAAAAGAAACACTACTGTAGTGGCATTTGTGTGTACTAATAAAACTTGAATAAAGGTCAGAAAAGTAAGAGCCACACTGGCCAGCCTTACAGACCACGCAGTGGAGACACACATCTTTAATACCAGTAGCCACAATGACACACACCTTTAATCTGAGTAGATACACTAATTTGCCACACAAACCAGGAGTGGTGGTGCACACCCTTAATCCCAGCCCTAGGGAAGACTATAAAACAGGAGGAGACAGCTCTCAGACACAGTCTCATCTGAGATTCCTGGAGGCAGGATTGCTATTTTGGACTGGCTGGCTGCTTTACTTTTCTGACCTTCAGGCTGAAGCCCAATTTCTGTCTCTGAGATTTTATTAATTGTGCTTCGCACTATTACAGCTAAAATCACACACGGATAGCAAGTAACTTCAATATCCACTCTCAGTAATAAGTCATCCAGACAAAAACGAAACAGAAATGTTGGAGTTTAATAACATCACAAACCAAATATACTTACCAGGTGTTCACCCCAACACCAAAGAATATGCTTTCTTCTCAGCAGCCCGTGGGACATTCTCCAAAACTGAACACAAGCAAATCTCAGCAGATACAAGAGAACTGAAGATACAAGAAAACACTCTGCATCCCATCAGACCACCACAGACTAAAGCTGGATGTCAATAACAGAAAATGTGTAAACTCATGGAAACTGAACAACACACTACTGAAAAATGGATCAAGACAGAAATCAAGAAGGAAATTAAAAATGTTTAAGAACTGAATGAGGTTGGGAGGTGAAACACCTTTAATCCCAGCACTCGGGAGGCAGAGGCAGGCAAACTATGAGTTTGAGGCCAGCCTGGTCTACAGAGCTAGTTCAGAATAGCTAGGGCTGTTACACAGAGAACTCTACCTGGGGGGTGGGGGCCTGAATAAAAATAAACACAAGCCAGGCGGTGGTGGCGCACGCCTTTAATCCCAGCACTCGGGAGGCAGAGGCAGGCGGATCTCTGTGAGTTCGAGGCCAGCCTGGTCTACAAGAGCTAGTTCCGGGACAGGAACCAAAAGCTACGGAGAAACCCTGTCTCGAAAAATCAAAAAAAAATAAAAAATAAAAAAATAAACACAAAACTATGGGTGTCATCTGTTGAAATAGGGAGCTGCGTCCCCGCCACCCGGCTACCCGCACGGCTAGCTTTATACCCGAAATAATTACACGGAAACTGTATTCTTTTAAACACTGCCTGGCCCATTAGTTTCAGCCTCTTAACCCATTTCTAATAATCTATGTAGCATCACGAGGTGTGCTTACCAGGAAAGATCTTAACCTGCATCTGTCTGGACTGGGAGAATCATGGCGACTCACTGATCCAGCTTCTTTCTCCCAGAATCCTGTTCAGTTTTCTCCGCCCACCTAAGGGTTGGCCTATCAAATGGGTCTAGGCAGTTTCTTTATAAATAAGAAATCACTCCCACATCAGTCATCGAGGTAGTCCTAAGAGGCAAGTTTCATAACACTAAGTGCCTTCCTAAAAACCACGGGAAAGATCTCATCTAAGCAAATTAGTAGCAACTTAGAAAGTTGTACAACAGAAAGAAGAAATAACACCCAAAAAAGAACAGACAGCAAGGAATAATCAAACTCAGAGTTAAAATCATCCAATTAAAAATAAACAAATACAAAGTTTAAGGAAAGAAAGAATTGGTTTGTGAGAATACTCAGTAAGATAAACACTTTGCCAAATTAACTAAATTGTGGAGAGAGAAGATCCAAATTAACAAAATTAGAGACCAAGAGGGACATAATAACTAACAGACACTGAGGAAATCCAGAGAATTTTAAGTACTTAATTTAAAAACCTGAACTCCACCAAATTGTAAAACAGGCCACCTACCAAAGTTAAATCAAGATCAGATAAGCAATTTAAACAGATCTATAACCCCTGGTGAAATAGAATCAGTCATTAAAAGTTTATCAACCAAAAACGCCCAGGGCCAGAAGGTTTTAGTGCAGAATTCTACCAGACTTTCAAAGAGTAAACACCAATATTCCTCAAATTATTACCCACAAGAGAACAGAAGGAATACTGCCCAATTCATTTTATGAAGCAAGTTACTTAAACCACATAAAGACCAATGAAAAAGATAATATATGTTCAATTACCCTTATGAACATAATGTAAAAATTCTCAATAAGTGCTTTTATTGCAAACTAAATCCAAGAACATACCAAAAAGATTATTCACAATTATCAAGTAGGCCTCATCCCAGACAGTCAGGGATGATTCTACACATGTAAATTGATAGATGAAATCTACCATAAAACAGACTAAAAAGCAAAAACCACATAATCATCTCATTAGATGGAAAGGCCTTTGACAAAAACCAACATGGGTTCCATTCCCATGGGACTAGTGCCCTGCCTGCATAAAATGCTAGTGCAATAGTACAAACGTTGTGGACCAACTCCATGAGATGGAACCCAAGCCTGACACTGCTCTAATAGTAGATAGGCCACAGGCCCACAGGAAAACCAAACACTTGTTCTACTAAAGTAACATAGCAACAGAATGAGCTTTCACGACATTCTGTTGCGCATACAGATCAGTGTTCAGTATCAGAGAGGCTTCCTTGCAGTAGACAGAACTAACACAGAGACCCAACCTGGATAATGTACAAACAGTGAACGACCCTGGACACTCAGTCCTGAATGGGATGTCTTCAGTGCTACATGGAAAAGGAGGCAGAAAGACCCACAGGGCTTGTGCACTGTCAGCACGCAGCGAAGTCTGCACTGTCCAGGTCAGATAAGGTCCCCGAGCCGAGAGGTGTCGTGAACATGATCTCCAACCCCTAGCCTAGAAGTTGTCTCCCACTGACATCAGTTTCCTACCACGGGCTCTCACTAGTTAGATGACCCACACCTAGGGGAGCGTCCATGCTCAGCACTAGGTGGCCAACACTAACTAACAATGGTATTTTATGATTTTTTTTGTCTCATGCTGCTTTGAGCATTTTTTTGTTATCTTCCTGGTTTTTTTCTTGTGTATTATGGCTTCCAATTTTGTGTTATTATGGGTTTTGTTTTTATATCTGTGTTTCTTGTGCTTTTTAGTTTTTGCTGTTTATTCTGATTTGATTTTTTATTCGCCTGTTTGTTTCCTAAAGAAAGCGAGAAGGGGGCTAGAGGGATTGCTTGGTGGTTAAGAGTACTGCCTGCTCTTCCAGAGGTCTTGAGTTCAATTCCCAGCAACCGCATGGTTGCTCACAACCATCTGTAATGAGACCTGGTGTATATGCAAGCAGGCAGAACACTGTATATATAATTAATAAATAAATATTTTAAAAAGAAAGCAAGAAGGCATAGAGTTGACACTGAAAATGTAAATGCCTTTTATTACTGCAAACTTTCCAAAATGTTTAAAATTATTTGAATTACTTAGTGAAAGATTATTTTGGGTGAGAGGAGGTGTGAACACTTATCTGCACTTGGAATTCTCTTAAAAATTCTTTTAAAAAATAAAATAAAATTCTTTTGTTAAAAAATGAAGAAGTCCTCTGTCTGAGATCAGAAACATTTGTGGAATAGGTGATACATCAAGTCTCTTCTCAGAGAACTGCATTCATCCACGGTTTGTTCAAAGAAAACCAAGGGTAATTTGGTAACCTGGAGACAGCTGCATCACGACATCATAGCACAATACATTATGACTTTATGATGATGGTGATGTTACAAAAGAAAAACCCTACTATGCTACCAATCACATCATCCCCGACCAACTGTCACCCTCCCAGGCTGTCCCGTCCGCGTCGGTCTGTGGCACCAGGCTGCGGCCAGGCTGTCGGCACGAGCCCAGGCAGGGGCTCCGGCGGAGGGATCCGCGGAGGCGAGGCTTCGGTCTCTTCGGTCTCGGAAGAAGAGACCGCTTCTGCGGCAGCACAAAGGGGGCGGCTGCAGGGTGATGTGCCAACCGATGTGAAGACAGATATTGCGTCCACTGTGGCTGGACCGGAAGCTGAGCAGGCCTCGGCCCTCTGCACATCCTGCCGGGGCCAGGCCAGAACTGCCCACCTCCTTCGGCAGCTGATCCACAGCTGACAAGGCAACCTCGGGCCCTGCCTCTTTCCACCAGGGGCCCACCAAGACAGCCTTCCGCCCACCATGGCTCTGAAGAGAATCCACAAGGAACTGAACGACCTGGCGCAGGATCCCCCAGCACAGTGTTCCGCAGGTCCTGTCGGGGAAGACATGTTCCACTGGCAAGCTACCATCCTGGGGCCGAATGACAGCCCCTATCAGGGCGGAGCATTTTTCCTGACGATTGATTTCCCAACAGAGTACCCCTTCAAGCCACCTAAGGTCGAATTTACAACAAGAATTTATCATCCAAACGTCAACAGTAACGGCAGCATTTGTCTTGATATCCTTCGCTCACAGTGGTCTCCAGCACTGACTATTTCAAAAGTGCTTCTGTCCATCAGCTCCCTGCTGTGTGACCCCAACCCAGATGATCCCCTCGTGCCTGAGATTGCTCAGATCTACAAGACAGACAGGGAAAAGTACAACAGAACAGCTCGGGAATGGACTCAGAAGTACGCCATGTGACTAAAGAGATTATTGGATATCCTCTACACGTCAAGGCTAGGGGAACTCGGAACGAGAAGGCCTTCTGGTTCCCACTGGACTGTTTGCTATGAACCACGCTGCACCTGCTTCATCCTTCCCGGTGCAGGTTCTTCACCTGACACAGTACTGCTGCAAGCTGTACTTCTGTACCAACACTGTCTCCTAGCACAGTAACCAAGATGTGAGATTAAAAGTTTTCCTCATTGACTTAATGTGAATAGCCACAGTGTGAGGGGTGGTGGTGCACCACACTGCTTAGAAGGGGTAAAGCTCCATCAGCCGGTAGGAGACGGTGAGACTGCTTTTAAGTGGAAGCCATTTAAATTTTAAAAAGTTATGAAAAGCTGGGTGAATAATGTGAAAGTTTCTGTATTCATTTTATTCCATAACACCTAGAATTAGATGAACCCTAAAACCAACCAGATTAAATCCAACCCACCTCCGGTATTTTAAGGTCTAATTGGTCAAGAAAAATAGATTGGTGCTATTAGTCTATAAAGTGTGATTGGCTTTGTTCCCAAATTCTTTATATCCCGACTCAACCTCCTTTCTTTCAGTCTTTCTCTCCATGTTCCTTGGTGTATTTGTGGTTTCTCGGTAGAAACATACAGATCACTAATAGTACTTATTTTTCTTATGTTAACTGCTTAATCCATTTGGATTTAAGGGTAAAAATTCCATTTGATGAAAAAAACTCTGTATAAAGACCCAATTGCTCCTTTGTAGCTTGTGCATTAAAAAATGATTAATCTATGTAATAAACCAACTCCTCCATCATTACATAAATGTTAATTTGTGTAATAACCAACTATTCCAGCCACTGCATAAATGTTAATCTGTGTAGTAAACCAACTATTCCAGACATTGCATAAATGATAATCTGTGTAATAAACCAATTGTTCCAGCCATTACATGTTAATCTGTGTAATAAACTATTTCAGCCTCTGCATAAATGTTAATCTGTGTAATAAACTCTATTCCAGCCACTGCATTATTGTTAATCTGTGTAATAAGCCAACAGTTCCAGACATTGCATAAACGATGGTCTGTGTGATAACTGTTCCAGCCCCTGCATAAATGTTAACCTAACAGCCCCAGCCACTGCCTACATTTTGTGTGAGTAGGTATTTTCGCTTTAAGAACCTTATTTGGTTGAAATTAGTAGATTTTTCATTCAGTCTTTACATGCTTTTATTTAGATCGATCACATTTTCAAATCATGAAACAACTTCAGTTTATAACTAAAAAGACACCTTAAAAGTAATTTTAGCCAGGCATGGTGGCGCATGCCTTTAATCCCAGCACTCAGGAGGCAGAAGCAGGTGAGTCTCTGTGAGTTCGAGGGCAGCCTGGTCTACAGAGTGAGTTTCAGGACAGCCAAGGCTACACAGAAATACCATCTCAAAAACAGAAAAAAAAGTAATTAAATATGATAGAGGCATAAGTTTATAGCCTTATGAAATAACATATAGCCTCTGAGGAAAAAAAGCTTAAATAAGAAACCTGCTTTGTTAATGAAACTAAGTTGCATTATACCCAAACCTCATGGCATTCTTTGGTACATACATAAAACACAATAACAATACTGGTACTGAGTTTAAAAAAAAAAAAAGAAAGAAAACAACACCATTGTACAGTTAGGATGTCTCCATAATTACTTTGCACTAACTTACTGGATGTCCACCCAATTTTATATTATGCTGTGTATGTAGCTTTTGGTGTGTGCGTGCGTGCTGTATGTAGCTTGTGTGTGTGTGTGCGTGTGCACATGAGCATGCTGTGTGTAGATTGTGTGTGTGTTATTTTGAAGTCTTCCCCCATCCATACTCTAGTAAAACCTTGAAATAGGTCAACTGTATGTTCTTTTCCTAATGTAACTGAAAAACAAAGCCAGTCTTCAGTCGTGTTGATGTTCTCTAGGCATTAGGTTCTTAAAAATGAATCTTTATACAAAGCTGAATAAATCCCAGTTTTTAATTGCCATGAATAGAGACAAAATAGAAACTATGTTGCTGGCTTGCATACTGACTACACTAAACCCTCTTATCATCATTTTAAAGTATACTACTACCTTTGTAAAAGGGGAAAAGTAATCCATTATAAAGCAGCCTCAGGGCAGATTCCAGAAGAAAAGCATTGCTTACGTTTTGTTTGATTTTGGTTTTGGTGTGTGAGTGTGGAGAGAACGTCGCTACACAATTTAACTGCCTCTGCAGACCTTCCAGTGGGACAGACCTAGGCTAATAGATGCATGCATGCATGTACACCTGCTTGCCTGTGCTTATGTGCACGTGTATTTTTAACCAAATTTTAAGCAAATTTTTAAAGTTTAAAATTTATATGATAATAAAAAGATATTTTTGTACACTTGTACATTGTTTTAAGCCAGTTTTTATATGCATAAGAGCCAACAACTAAGCTGAGCGGTAGTGGCACACTCCTTTAATCCCAGCACTTGGGAGGCAGAGGCAGACAGCTCTGTGAGTTCGAGGCCAGCCTGGTCTACAAGAGCTAGTTCCAGGACAGGCTCTAAAGCTGCACAGAAATCCTGTCTCGAAGAAAAAAAAGGAAGGCAGGCAAAAATATCAAGTTTCCAGTGTGGCAAAATATACCTGCAATTTCAGTACTGGGAGGCTGACATAGGAGGTCACAAGGTCAAGGCCAGTTTGAACCACGCAATGAGACTGTCTCAATGCTCGTCCTCCAAAAAAACAAAAAGACAAAAAAAAAAAAGTTTAAAGAAAAGAAAATGTAGATCTAATGTAGCACAGCCAGGCACTGTGGCACACATCTGTAATCCCAACACTGTTCAGGTCAGCCTGGTCTGTGGTGAGTACTAGGCCAGCAGGGCTCTGTGTGAGACTGCACAATGAATGAATGAGCCAACAGTCATGTGTCTTGACTACACAGTGTATTATGTGTGTATTTATAAATCCCACAGCAGTGCAGCATTCAGGCCTTCAGGTCCACTCACTGGACCTGCAAGATGTGTGTGGTAAATGCAATACACAAGCAGGCCACTGTTAACTCTGATGCTGCATTTGTCTGTGCGCCTTTTCTGTTTAGATAAATTCTAACTACGTTACTTATACAGTGTGTAGGTTTAGAGCCCGGAAGGTTGCATACGCACACTTTAACGCTCACACGTTAGGAGACATCCAACAGTGTTTTCCCTAGGTCTGTCATCTAATGATAATTCTATTTAGACACGGCATTCAAGAAAGCCTTAATATGTAGGCTTTATAAAAATATATAATTAGAATCATCTCATTTATTACTGTTAAATGGGTGAATAACTTTAAAATGCCCCCAAAACAGATGACCATGTAATTTCAACATAATTAAGAAATTACAGGGGCTGGAGAGATGGTTCAGTGGTTAAGAGCATTGCCTGCTCTTCCAAAGGTTCTGAGTTCAATTCCCGGCAACCACATGGTGGCTCACAACCATCTGTAATGAGGTCTGGTGCCCTCTTCTGGCCTGCAGGCATACATATAGACAGAATATTGTATACATAATAAATAAATAAATATTTTTAAAAAAAAAAGAAATTACAATAGTGACAGAGGACAAACTTAATGAGCCTGGAAACTGGGATGCAGCGTCACTGGAAGTCTGTGCCACAGAGACGGTCCTATAAAACTAACTTACTTTGTTTACCACACATCCTACATGAAGTAGAGAATCGGGAAATACTATAAAAGGGAGGATAGTTTAGGTTTTATCTCTAACAGATGAACTTTGTATCTTGGGTTCTGAGAACTGAGCAGCACCAAGACTTTACCTTTGTCAGGAAAGTGTATCAGCACGGGCTTCATGGGACTTATAGGAACAGCAGTTTTTGGGCTTTTATTAGGTTTGTTTTGAAAGTAGAGGTTGTTTACTTTGTATATGTATACCTTCAGGCAAAAAGACATTAAAAACAAAAACCCTGTGTAACACTGTAACTGAAAAGTACAAAGTAGTCCTCAGCACCACTCTCATCCTACCCCAACCTGCAGCTGGCAACCAGGCTGCCCTGAGATCACTGCTGCTCAGCCCTAGAGAAACTCCTTTCTGCTGTGTGTATGTGCGCGTGCATTAGTGTGTGTTAGCCTAAGTGACTACTAAATGCTCAGCCATAAATGGAATATCTCTAGGACCTCCCCTAAGGCACAGGGAACATCACAGAAGGGCTACGAGGGCAAGGGGAGTCACTTTCCTCAGTGGTCAGTTGCCCATATGCCAGGGAATAAGCCACATTCATCCTCATGTGAGACACCCTGGTAGATGAAGAAACTGTCTGGGGAAAAGGATTTTAGACGTGAGATGAGGAGGAGGTACATACGCATGGTCGAGCTATAATACATACATGGATGAAACTCTCAAGGAATTAAAACAGTATCAACAGAAGAAAAGTTTTCAGGAATCAATATTTGTGCCTTGACGCACTTGGAAGACGTCCTTATAGGCGGTGCCAACAGCAGTGTGAAACACAAGCCTAAAGTTCAGAGAAGAAAAAGGTAAAGACCACAGAAATTTGGCAACTGAGATTTGGCTCACTGTTTCCTGTGGTTATCAGAGCAAACACAACAGAACCAATCAGCTCGCCACCTGGGGATCTGCAAACCGCTAAGAGTTCATGAAGAACTAAGGCGGGAAACGTATGGAAAGTTTTCTAACTATTCTGGCAGTAACCACAGAGTCTTATCACAAAGTGAACAGTGTTTCCAGCATGGGGTTCCAAGGTCTCTAATATCACAACAAAACAAGATGTGAAACAGGCTGGCAGAAAGGAAATCACCTGTCAACTAAATGGTCGGCAAATCAGTAGAATCTGGCTCATTAAAGTCTACCTGGGTCTGCCCTAACAAATAGAATTTATTTTGAAAAAAGGGTAATTCATAAACAACGGGTATTTATTGTTCAGAGTTCTGAAGTTGGGAAGTCCAAAATATAAGCACTAATATTCAAATCTGGCGAGGACATTTCTAACTAACAGTGCCTTCTGTTAACGTGTTCACATGACAGATGCTGCCAAAACTCCGTAAAGTCTCTTTTTTAAAAAGCATTAATTCAACCCATGAGAACAGAGCTTTCCAAAGGTCTGACTTTATTATATTTCAGATTAGGTTCAACATAAGAAGGAGTTTTGCAGTCACAAACATTCAGATCAAACAAAACTACATGCCTGACTCACAGGGGTCACATGCTTTCCTGGTGACACATAAAATTCCTCTCTAATCAATAAAAAAAAAAATAACAGAATTAACACAAAAGAAGTGCAAAAATGATAGATCTGAAAAACCAATTTCTTTGCTTTGTTTCTTTAAAATGACAGCTCCAGTCCAAGATTCTTTACAGAAAGAACTGAGGAGTAAACCAGCCATCCTGAGCCAGGAATGACAGCCGACACCTGTAACCCCAGCATGAAGAAGCTTGAAGCTCGGTTAATGAAGATTCAGAGACAGATATTGGGGTTCAACCCGAAGACCAGAAAAGCAAAGCAGCCAGCCTCTGGCTCTTACCTCGACCTCAGCCCAAAAAATGGCGATCCTGCCTCCAGGAATCTCAGAATGAGGCTGAGCCTAAGAGCTGTCTCCTCTCATTTTCTAATCCTCTCTAGTTCTGGATTAAGGGCATGCACCACTATAGTCTGGTTTCTATGGCAAGCTAGTGTGGCTACTGGGATTAAACGTGTGTCACTGATGCCTGGTCTGCAAGGCTGGCCAGTGTGTCTGTTTTACTTTTCTGATCCTCAGGCAAGCTCTATTTATTAAACATAAATATAAAATATAATATGCCACTACAGAGGCTGAGGCCTGAGTTGTTACCATGACTTTATGACCAGCCTCTTACATTACACAGTAAGTTCTAGAAAATTCTGAGCTACGGTGTGAGACTCTAAATAAAATCCTGCCTTCACAATAGAGAGAAAAACAAAAAACTTAAAAACCAAACCAATTCAAATGAAGTGGTGTTTTTCCTGTTGTATACATGTGTGTGTGTGTATATATATATATATATACACACATACATGATGTATTGTTATTTACATATATGTGTACACACACAGCTAGAGAGATGGCTCTGTTTTGCTTGAAACCTTTTCATTTATTAATGAATTTTGCTGGATATTTTATAGAGAGTATCCTTAAGGAAACTGAGGTAATGCTGGTTTTTTAAGTTCTTAAGTATTTAATGAACATTAGACCATGGAGACCAGACTGTACAGAAATATAATGCAAGTCACTTACACAATTCTAAAAGTCCCAGGCAGCAGCTACATCTTGAAAGTTCAAAAAGTGACTAATTTTTATAATATATTATTTTATTTATTTAGATTTTTTTATTTTGAGACTGGTTCTGCTTTATAACCCAAGCTGACCTAGAACTTATGGTGATCCTTCTGCCTTCAAAGTGCTAGAGTTACAAGCATGGTCCAGCACATAGAGCTACTTTCTTCAATTCAAACAAGTCATTTCAAAAAAGAAAACATCATTTTAACACGTACTCAAGTTTTCTTAAAATTAACGTTATATTACTTTTTTCAAAACAAGCCTTCAAATTCTGGTATAGTAAACAGTTTACACCTAGCAGCAAGTCTAAGTCAGACGAGGCGCACTGCAGTGCCCAGCAGCCGTGGGGTCAGTGCTAAAACACTAAGCAGTGGAGCTCTAATGTGGACAGAGACTCATGGTAATTATATTTTAAAAACAAAAGTATACCTCGTATAAAAATGGTTCTGTTTTATCACTGTAGTATCTCTCTCCTTGAAGGATATGCTAAATAGGAAAACTGAAGTAAGTAAAAGGAAATAAAGATGGTTGAAACAAAACCTTAAATCAAATAGGTAATGTCAGCTTTTTAAAACACTACTATCGCCCTGAACTAAAATGTCCGCTTTAAAACAATACTATTCCCTGAACTAAAATGTCAGCTTTAAAACAGTACTATCGCCCCTGAGCTAAAATGTCAGCTTTAAAACACTACTATCGCTCTGAACTAAAATGTCAGCTTTAAAACACTACTATCCCCTGAACTAAAATGTCAGCTTTAAAACAGTACTATCGCCCCTGAGCTAAAATGCACCATCACACTTGAGACTCACCTCAAATTCATCTCTGCCAAGGCCTTTGTATTCTTAATATGAAAAACACATTTTAACACAAACCAAAAAAAAAGCTGTCCTATTTTAACCTAAGTCTATCAATTATTAACTTTCTTCAAACAAATCTTTGATATTGGACTAAACCATTTCTTCAAATTTTTCTGAGGTTGCCACGTACATTTACTTTTTTAAAGAAATAGTTGCAATAAAACCATGTAAAGGAAAATAATTTTCTATTCTCATGTTTCTTACATTTTAATTTTCTAAAATATTGCCCCCATTTTTGTGTCTCTTAAATCAGACAGTTAAAGACACAATTAGAGTAGAATCTCCACGTGGGAAGGGAACCAATCACATATGCTTAAGAACAGTGTCTTACACTGTGGTATCACAGGCAGCAATTCTGTCAATTACTTTTTCTTTAGACTTGTAAAACACACAACTTCCTTACCAACTCCTGCAGAGGCCAGAGAAATGATAGAGTGGCCAGCAAAACGGGGTGGGGGATGTTAGGTCTTCAGGTATGACACTTTATTTGGGTTGTTGTTGTTGTTGTTTTTAATAAAAGTAAATATATCTTCCCTCTGGGCCTTTTGAAAAGTCAAAGCTCACAGTGACGCATCTCCTAATCTTTTCCAAGACAGTCCCTCCAATTAGGGACCAGCATTGAAATATATGATCTTGTAGGGCATTCTCAAACTACCACAGGAGACTACATCTGATTTCCAAACCTATTACAAAACTATAATAAATAAGGCAATACAGTACAACCTTAAGACCAAATAATAGATGAACAGAACAAAATGGAGTACAGACACAGACCCAACATCTGTAAACAACTGACTAAAGTGTCTAAGTAGTTATGGAAGAGTAGCTGATCAGGCAAAGAAAAGAGCTGGATGTGGCCCACGCCTTTAATCCCAGCACTGGGGAGGCAGGGGATCTCTGGGAGTTTCTGGACAGCCAGAGCTACACAACAGAGAGGCTCTGTCTCAAAGAAATGAAACAAAAATAAAAGAGAGTTATTTTAACCAATGCTATAGAACAACCAAACATGCACACAGCTGTCTGAAACTCCAGTTCCAGATCCAAGGCCCTCTCTGACCTCAATGAGCATCAGGCATGCATGTAGTATACATACATACATACATACATACATGTAGGCAAAACATTCATACCCATCAAATAAAATAAAAATAAATCTTAAAAAAAATTCTCAAACTCTGGTCTTGTACACATACAAGTAAATTCAGTATCAACTGAATCCAAGAGTTTGAGGGGAGCCACAACTATCATGAGGAGTCATCTCTCTTAACAACAACAACAAAGTAAAAGTAGAAGAAAATACAGAAGACAGTTTACATGAACTTGGGTTACCAAATGCACAATCCACGGAAGTACAACTGTAAGCTAGTCCTTCATCAACATTTAAAACTAGATGATGAGAAGTAAGCTCGGTCAGGAAAGCCTTTGCTATGCACACACAAGGATCTGAGTCTGGATCCATCTATTACCCACAACAAAGCTCGGCATGGGGCCGATGCCTGCAACCCCAGTGGAGGGTGGGAAAGGGAGGACACTCGCAGGCAGATCCCTGAACTTCCTAGCCAGATAATCGATAAACTTCAGGTTCAGTAGACTGTGACCCAAAAAAAATAAAAGTGGAAATCACCAGAGAAGTCAACATCAATCTCTGGCCTCCACCTCCAAACACACACCTCCATAAATGTGTACCCACAACATACACACATCACAAATACACAAACTTAACTTATTCAAAAGATATTTTTAAACATTTTTAAAATTATTTTTATTTGGGCTGGAGAGATTGCTCAGAGGTTAAGAGCACTGGTTGCTCTTCTAGAGGTCCTGAGTTCAATTCCCAGCAACCACATGGTGGCTCATAGCCATTCAAAATGAGATCTGGTTCCCTCTTCTGGCCTGCAGACATACATGCAGGCAGAACACTGAATACATAATAATAAATAACATTAGTAGGAAAATACAAATTAATTTGCATGCACTATTGGAACTGGAGAGAGGGCTCAAAAGCTAAAAGCACTGGCTGCTCTTCCGGAGGGCCCAGGTTGAGTTAAGTTCCTAGCACCCAGTTGACAACTTACAACCTCTGTAACTCCAGTTCCAGGCAATCCAATCCCTTTCCTGACTTCTGCAGGTACATGATGATCAGACATACATGCCAGCAAAATTCATACACATAAAAGTAAATGAATCTTTTTTTAAAAAATGCACTAGCTGGGCGGTGGTGGTGCACGCCTTTAATCCCAGCACTCGGGAGGCAGAGGCAGGTGGATCTCTGTGAGTTTGAGGCCACCCTGGTCTACCAAGTGAGTTCCAGGACATCTAGGGCTATTACACAGAGAGACCCTGTCTTGAAAAACCAAAAAACAAACAAACAAACAAACAAAAACAAAAAACAAATAAAAAAAAGTAGGGATGGAAGCATAGGCCAATGTATCAAGGTCTGGGGACTCAATCCCAGACCTGTAAAACAAAAATGATAGTTTTGCCTTAATAATTCATAAAATTCAAGAAGGATTTAGAGTCTGCTATACTAAGAGAATGAATCTCAAGCACTATTAGCTAAAGGTAAATCTTTGTCTTAGACTAAGTAATTCTGGAAAACAAGGGTCAGAAACTAGGAAACTATATGATAACCAAGAAGAGAAATGTCCAGCAATTTCACTCACCGATTCTGTTCCTCCAGCTTAGCCAGGAGTTCTAAGTCGTCTGGACTCAACTTTGAAGGGGAGGCCGGCGAAAGCGCTGGTGTTGACAGTGTGGTGGACGAGGATGTCGTGTGTGATGACGCAGATGGACTGGCCACCTGACTGGCCATCTGACTGACTGTATGCGAGACTGTGTTCTTCACCCATGAGAGAGTAGAGCTCAGCTTCTCCGCCACCTTGTCTGTCGCCACCTGAGGACAGAAGAGAAAGCACATTTTAGTTGTGTTGTGATCGATGTGGGATGCCCCTCTGTATGCTGTGAATATGGTTTGTTATCACTGGTTAATACAGAAGCTAATGTAGCCAACAGCCAGGAAGAAGGCGAAGTCTGGGAGACACCAGCAGTCGCTAGGGAAGCAAGCTGTGAGGTGACAGTCACGAGACTCACTAATGGAAACGAGTTAACTTAAGTTGTAAGAACTAATTAATGTCCGCTATGTTCAGCTAGTCCGGATTTATCCCATGCTTTTTCAGACCCAGGCCAGCTGGCCTTGGTGAGTTCCTGATAGAACATCCCCATTGTCTCGAACTCAAGAACAATCGCAGTGGGTTTTTGATCCTACTGCACGTACTGGCTTTGGGGGAGCCTAGGCAGTTTGGATGCTCACCTTACTAGACCTGGATAGAGGTGGCCGGTCCTTGGGCTTCCCACAGGTCAGGGAACCCTGATTGCTCTTCGAGCAGATGAGGGAGGGGGACTTGATCGGGGGAGGGGGAGAGAAATGGGAAGCGGTGGCGGGGAGGAGGCAGAAATCCTTAATAAATAAAAATTTAAAAAAAAAAAAGAACTAGTTAATGATAAGACTAAGCTAACGCCAAACAGTTTGTAATTAAGATTAAGCCTCTGAGTGGTTATTTTAAAAGTGGCTGCGGGAAAGGGCAGGACGAGAAACCTCCAGTTACATGCAATCATTTCCACAAACTTGGTGACCCCGCTAAGTTTGACTCAAAACTCACTGAGGGCTGGACGGTGGTGGCGCCTTTAATCCCAGCACTCAGGAGGCAGAGGCAGGCGAATCTCTGTGAGTTCGAGGCCTGCCTGGTCTACAAAGGGAGTTTCAGGACAGGCTCCAAAGCTACAGAGAAACCCTGTCTCGAAAAACCAAAAAAAAAAAAAAAAAACTCACTGAGGTGATGGGGGTTAAGCCTCTTTTTTAAGATCTACTCATTTCTATGTTATGTGTTTGCCTGCATATATGTATATATCACATGCATGCCTGCTGCCCTCAGAAGGCAGAAGAGGGTGTCAGATCCTCTAAAACTGGAGTTAAACATGGATGTGAGCTGCCATGCCAGTACAGGGAACCAAACTCAGGTTCTTTACAAGAACTCACAGAGATCAGCCTGCTTCTGCCTCCTGAGTACTGGGATTAAAGGCGTGCGCTACCACCACTTGGTACAAACACTGTTCTTATGAAGAGCTTCTGAGCTGGCAAAATGGCTCAGCCGTCAATGTACTTGCCATGAAAGCCGAGCATCTGCTTTTGATCTTCAGAACTCACACAGAAAGTAGAAGCTGAGGACAAACTCCATAGCTGTCCTACTGCTGAAGACACCACAGACAGCCAGGCAGCAGGACAGAGAAACAAAGCTGGAAATGAGCTGGCAGCGTCTTCACCTGCAGTGTTGGAAGGTTCAGCTCATGGTGGTAGGAATGAGGAAGGGGTTGTTTTCATTTGTATAGCCTGATAAGTTGTCTGTGTTCCAAAAAATAACCTGACACTCATGCAGGCAACAATATTTAAACTCTCAATCATTAAATAATAAGTTAAATATTAAACTATCCTCTCTCCCACTCCCACGCACAGATGAAAAAGTGGGGGGAGGGGACTTGTTGGAAGGAGAGCTTAAGCAGGGGAGGTAAGAAAGGAGAATACAAAGAAACAAAATTCATCATACACACGTATGAGATTGCCATAAACATACCATCTCCTAATGCCAACCACTAACTCAGAATATACTCAGTAAATTCCAAGCAGTCATCTTTATAATCCTGTTAGAGAGAAGTCCCTCACGGAAGTGAATTGTTGCAAAGGCAAAAGCAATCTACTATTTGTTCTAATTTATTAAAATGAATTACTTTACCACGCCTCTTCTGTATACTGTAGCAACAGGCCTCCATTTAGAGAGTTTGGAACAACCAAAGGCATAATTCTGACATCCACTCGACTTAAAGAAAGAGATTCGGCCTCAGCACTAAGTAACGCATTAATACGGTTTACTATGTTCATAATTTCACACATTCCATGTGACTGAATTATCTTTCATACTGACTATGCTCTAACCTCCCTGGATCATGAACCTCACCATGCAAACATGTTGCAAGTTCTTGTCCACATCACAGACATGCTACATATTTATTCTGAGAAGTGAACACTCAAAATGTTAAAAATATCATCAAAAAGGACAATTATACATTAAAGAGATACAAAGTACGATTCGATCTTTATGAAACTTCCAGAATGGGCGAATCCAGAGACCTTGACGGCTTAATGTTCTGTGTCACCTCCCACCCCCTGGACTCCCAAGGCACCAGTGCTGTCAGCTGGGATGAGGGCCAGGAAGGGTGCGGGTTTATAGTCTTTACACACCATGACCCACTGACTCCCACCACACAACAGGCCAATGTTCTGGTCTGGGGATCTGAACTTCCGCACTGAGAGCTATAATCTGTACTGTCAAGTCTGCCACCAATAGAAACTAGCTCTATCAACTCTGGAAGAACTAATTCAACACACCAAACACCTAGCCCATCTTGAAGGCTTTCAAGGGACCATAACCTCACACCCTCTTTCAAGTCCAATAAGGATATCAACAGTTACGGAGCAGCAACAAAAAGAGGAAGCCAGCCAGAACAGACAAGAGACCAATAGGTTCTAGACGACCCAGCCCATGGAGTAACAGTCAAGGATTGCAAACCTGCGACTGCCTAGTTTGTCCTAATACTGCTATCAGGGTGGCAGACAGATGCGTCCCAAAAAGTTAGGAGAGACCTGCATGTTTGTCCCAGTCAACATGACCTCTGAAAACAACATTCAAGCAATTCTGACTCTTGCCAAACACAAGCTTGGATATACAGATGTGATTCAGCTGTGCAGACACTGCAGTGGCCACTGAGACGCATAACCAAAGTCAGGCATTGTCACACATCCCTTTAATCCCTGCACTTGAGAGGCAGAGGCAGGTAGATCTCTGAGTCCCAGGCCAGCCTGGTGTGAAACAAAACAAAACAAAAATTATACAATCAAAAGAAAAGGGTCCATACGTTAAAGAACTTCCAGCAGGCTCTCAATGTGATGCACCTGGTTGCTGGTTGCTGGGGAGATGACCAGGGAGGTCAACATGGAGTTACCCTAACAGTGCCAGTGTGGCTTCCTTTGAGGGGCAGGTTGCACAAGCCAGATGCTCTGCACCCAAAAAGGCATGGTGGGCATGGCACTGCCCACTGCTCAAGACCTGGCCCTGTAGGCATCACCTGACAGCTGTTCCTGGTCTGCTCACTCAGAGGTCAAAGTGCTTACCTCACAAATTTGATGACCTGAGTTCAAGCCCAGGAGTCCAACCTTGGCTATATGAAACTGTCTTAAAAAAATAAACGAAACTGTAAAATGCTTTTGGTCTTGACATTTACATCTTCATATCGACTTTATAGTGTCTCTCACCCTTTTCCGCCACTTGCTTTAGGCTTACACTGCGCCCTTTTCTCATTCTCGGCACTACAAGTACGGCCCAGTGGCATTATACCCTTCATTTCTGACACACACGTTCAATTCTTCACGCTTTTAATTTTTCTTCAAAACACTTTTAGTTTCTCTTGCAATTTCTTTATCCAATATTATTTTAGGAGGATACTGTTTAATATCTAGAAATTTTTATATTTTCCAACTATTTTTCTAACTTTACAACACAGGTTATACAACGATAGAGCTACTGGTTTCTAACTTAATTCTACTGTGGCCTGGAAGCACAAGCTAAAGACCGTGTCACGTCCCAGAATGTGGTCTGGATGGGTTTGTCCTCAACCTTAGAGCACGTTTTCTGCACTCAGTCACCCACTTCTGGTACTGCTCAGTGGCAGTCACACATGCTGGAGCCTGCAGTCCTAACAGTGGATCCACTCAAGGTCCAGGTTTTGCTTGTTGGTTGGCTTTGTATTGAGACGGGGTCACATGTAGTCTGGGCTGGCCTCTAACTCACTACTTTGCTTTGCCTCACTAACTGTAATGTCTTTTTGAAGAAATGGCTGTACTCTGTTAGGTAAGGACTACCTTTATTCCTGTTAACTCCCTCAAACCTGCTTTGTCTGAAATCAATACAGCCACTTCAAATTTCCTTTGATTATTTAACAAAGTCCAAAAGGCAAACAAAGAACCATGTGAGGTATGGTGGCAAACATTTGCAATCCCAGCACTCTGAAAGCTGAGGCAGGAAGATTCCAAATTCAAGGCCGACCTGAGTTACATAGTGAGATCTCACACCTCAAAGGAAAAAAAGAAAATCTCAGCACTTAGGAGAATCTCTGTGAACTCAAGACCAATCTGATCTACAGTGAGTTCCAGGAGACACCCTGTCTCAAAAAAAAAAAAAGAGAGAGAGAGAGAGAGAGAGAGAGAGAGAGAAATAACTTTGTATATAAAATCCCTTCTGAACAAGAGTTTTTCCAATAACTACTGTACTGAGTTAAAGTCCTAACAACGCAATAAAGTTTTAAATGTTTTTTTATTTACTTAGTATAGGTGTTCTGCCTGCATACAGCACAGACACTAAGAAACAATGAATGGGATCTCTCTGCACAACACCACCATTCAGTAAAGAGGCAGGGTACAGAATGGAAAAGGATCTTCACCAATTATATATATATGAAGGCTAGTATCTAAAATATATAAAGAACTTTTGAAAAAAAGACTGGATATCAAGAAAATAACCCAGCTGAAAACATGCAGAGAGAGAGTTCTCAGAGCATGGCGTACAGAAGCATGCAGAGTTCTCAAAACAAAGGAAACACAAATGGCTGAGAAACATTTAAAGAAACGCTCACCATCGTTAGTCATCAGGGACATGCAAGTCATAACTACTTTGAGATTTCATCCTCTACCAGTCAGAATGGCCAAGATCAATAACACAAAGGAGAGCCCATGCTGGTGAGGATCTAGAGTAAAGAAAAATTCATTACTGGTGGGGTGCAAACTTGTACAGCCACTATGCACATCAGTGTGCAGTTTCTCAGGAAGCTGGGAATAGATCTACCTCAAGATCCAGCTGTACCACACTCTTTTGCATATACACAATGGACTCTACATCCTACTACATAAATGTAGACATTTGCTCATCCATAATCATTGCTGCTCTATTTAAAATAGCCAGAAATCGGAAACAGTCTAGATGTTCATCAGTTGATGACAGGATAATGAAAATGTGGCACATTTACACAATGGAATATTATTAATTGTTAAAAAGAATGAAATTTGCAGATAAATGGATGGAGCTAGGGGAAAAAATCATCCAAGTGAGGTCACCCAAACCCAAAAGGAGAAATCAGTATGTTTTCTCTTATATGGGGATATTGGCTTTTAAGCCTTTGATATGCATGCTACAATCCACATAACAACAGAGGTTAGGTACCTATTAAAGGACAAAGGAAGAGAAGAAGATCTCCCTAAGAAGGAGAAATTAAAAGATACATAGTTATGGGAGGGAGGGTTGAGTGCGAGGAACAAATGGGAGGGAGAAGGGAGAGTGGAGTGACAGAGAGATATGAAGAGAGCGGGGCTGGGCGGCTTAGGGCGGAGCAGCAACATGGCAGCGTCTGGAGCTGGTGACCCTTTGGGTGCTAAGGATGGAAATGCCCCATTCGCTCAGCGCATCGACCCGTCGCGGGATAAATTGACCCCAGTGCAAGTGCAGTTTATGCGGCAGGTGCAGCTTGCCCAGTGGCAGAAAACACTGCCACAGCGGCGGACCCGGAACATCGTGACTGGCCTGGGCATCGGGGTCGTGGTATTAGCTATTTATGGTTACACCTTCTATTCAGTGGCTCAGGAGCGTTTCCTTGATGAGCTGGAAGATGAGGCCAAAGCTGCCCGAATCCGAGCTTTCGAGAGGAAGAGAGCATCAGGACCCTAACTGTACGGAGAATCTTCAAACTGCTGGAGCTCCTGTACCCCTTAAATGATGCCTGGCGATCTCATGGCATCGCTGGCTTCCTAATTTCGAACTGTGATTGAGCCCAAGAAGCCAGAGACTGTGCTTCTGGCCACTGCCGGATGGGGGGATTGCTCATTTCACATGCAGTTTGTACAGTTACTCAGCCTTCTAATTTCCTTGTTCGAGAGGTATGAGACCTTGCCTTTCCTCAAACTTTGTGATTTACCCCTTCACCTCCCAGGGGCCCAACTGTTAAGGGGGAGGGTGTGGTGTATCTGCAGAGTTGGAACCTTAAGTGGGAAAGATGGGGTCAAGTTAAGAGAAATAAAATGAGTCACCTCTCCTGAAAAAAAAAAGAAAAAGAAATATAAAGAAAGAAAACTAAGGGCATTTGAGAAGCCGTTGGGAAACTCATTACCGTAGAAGTTTCCTAAAATACATACATAAATGAAAGAAATCAAAATGGTGCCATCAAACAATGGAGGTGGCAATGCCCCAATTAGATTATCTTCCACCAAGAAGTGAAACCTTAAGTGCCAGAAATGGGTAACATCTAGTTGAGTGCTTAGCCAGAGGTCACAAAGAAACCCCAAATATCTGTGGCTATTACCAAGGTTATTGGTTGCTCTCAACAAACTGATGAGAAGGCCTTTCGCTGAAGATAACATAGTTCATCAAAAACAAACTCAAGCTGGTGCCTAACTAGAGGCTTCACCCCTGATGGCTAGTGTTCATAGTGCTGGAAGGTACTCTGTATGCTACCTGAGGAGAAAGGCAATCATCAACTCAGCTACAAACCCTGATGGAGGAAGGTCATTGGTTAAATAAAAAGAAACTGCTTGGCTCTCATTGGTTAGAGATAGGTGGGAGGAGTAAACAGAACAGAACGCTGGGAGGAAGAGGAAGTGAGCTCAGACTCCACAGCTCTTCTCTCGGGAGCAGACACCTCAGAGAGAGAGATGTCATGCCCCGCTCCCGGGCAGACACACGCCATGAAGCTCCGACCCAGGATGGACTAGGCTAGAATCTTCCTGGTAAGACCGGTTCTCACAGATTATTAGAGATGGGTTGATCGGGATATCAGAATTAGCCAGTAAGGGCTAGAGCTAAAGGGCCAAGCAGTGCTTAAAAGAATACAGTTTCCATGTAATTATTTTGGGTAAAGCTAGCCTTGGGGGCGGACGGGTGCCGGGGATGCAGCCGCGCCGCTCATATTACTACAGACTGGCGCCCAGACATGTGGACAACTGAATCCACTGAAAGCCTGAGAAAGCTTGAGAAAGAGAAGAGCATGTTTTCTTGGTAGCTGCAATTTAATAGAGGCTTCCTGACTCAGCTTTAGCTGCAAAACCCTGCAGCTCATTAAGAGGTCCTGCCACAAAACACTTAAATGGTGTTGACGAAAAGCTGAACGCATGCTTTTCGGTTTTCAGCTGTAGCAGGAAAAAAGCTGCGCCGTTTAAAAATGCCAGCTTTCTGGGCTGTCCTGCCAGGGCAAACTCTGACTCTTACGCAGGCAGTTCGTGCGGTTTGCAAGCACAGGCTGCTGAAGCTCGCTTGCTGGCAGGGACCTTGAAATGCCATAGAGTTGTGGCAGTAAACATGGCTACAGCCAGTACCTCAGCCATGAGGCTAGAAAGCTAAGGAATGGGCTACATCTAGCCGGCAAAGCCACGCCTTTAATCCTACTGATATTGGTTGGTAAATTAAAGACTCATGTGGTCAGAAAAACAGAGAGATACAAAAAAGATTCAAAGAGAAAGAAAATTTTTAAATGGTTTACAGTGTGTTAAAAATATATTCAGACTAAAAGTTGAAGTTCTTAAAGTAACAAACAAAAAAAAAAGGAAGAGAGTTGTTGTGTGTGGTACACACCTTTAATCCCAACACTTGGTAGGCAGAGGGAGATTGACCTCTGTGACTTCAAGGTGTGGTAGCACACGCCTTTAATCCCAATGCCTGGGAGGCAGAGACAGGCAGATCTCTGAGAGTTCAAGGACAGCCTGGTCTACAGAGTTACTTCAGGTCAAAGATACAGAGAACCTATCTCAAAAAGCAAAAAGTTAAAAGTAAAAATAAACAAAATAGAGGTTAAAATAAAATGAGCAAAGATGGAAAATACACAAGAGAATCTTGAATCTGTATGCTATTATGCTCTCTTTGAATTGTTTGAATGCTGAGGAAGGAGCAAGAGCTGCTAAAAGATATTTGTTTATAAATGCTGCTGAACTAATCCAACATAGATATTTTGATGCCTTGACATTGAAATTTGGATCTAAGGACATGATGCTTTGGAAAGGAGTTTCTTATTTTGTTTTCACAGAGGACCAGACCCTGTGGATTTCTTCTATCCCAATTTGGTATGATGGACCACATCCTCCTGAAAGGTTGCGTGAACACCCTCAGAAAATTGTTTCGCTCAACTGCCAACTGAGATAAAACTAGCACACAGGTTATACCATGAAAGACCTAATTAACGACGCCCCCATTCAGCAGGAAGCAGTTTGGAGAGAAAAAACTACACCCATGTTCCCAAATATGGTTTATAAACATTCTTTTACATTTAAAGGGGGATATGATATAGGTATGAATAATTTGCATTAGTATAGATTTTGCTTTATTGATAGAGATTTACGGTCAATTTTGTTATATGTATATGTATTTCTGATCTTTATTAAGGTATTGTGATTGTGTAGTTCATTTAAAAATGTAATTTATAATTAGAAATATAGATTGTTAATAGATAATCATAATAGTCAAGTTTGTAGTCATGTTAGTTAAGATTTTCTAGATGTGCATAGATATATTTTAGATAGGCATTCTTCATATTTTTCAAAGATTATAAAATATGGCATTTTAAATGTTTTAATAACTAAGGACTTTTCATGACAATGAGACACTCTGCTCCTGGCAGCACCAATCTACTTCAAGAGGAAGATGGGCATCGAAGAGGCTCGTTATGGAGTTTGATAGCCATTTGGGCAAGAAACTGCTCTTGCCTGGACTATTGCATAAACTGGACACAGAGAACCCGCAGAGAGAGGACTACTGAACTTGCCTAAGGTGAGATGATCTTTCAGGGTTCCTGATTCATGAAAGAGTCTGCGAGACACTCTGCAGGACACAACAGATAGTGACTGAACTGACTTTGAATTTTCCTGCTTTATGGAAATGTCTGCTGGATACCATGGGCCTGAAGGCTGAAGATGGATGCCCCAATGGTACAGAGGAACTTTGGGTGACTGTCCAGGCAGCGAGATGTCTCTGTCATTTCTAGAGTTTTAAAAGTTGCTTTTTTCTTGTTTGCTTAGGTAGTATTGTATCTTTCTGGAGTCTTTGATGGAGTTAAGAATAGTTAGTTATAGTTATAGTTTTCCTTAGTTATGATAAAGATTATTGTAACTTTTACTTGATAACTGTTTTGTTATATGTAATTTTGCTATGTTAAAGTTAAAGCCTTTTTTTTTTGTTTAAACCGAAAAAGGGGAAATGATGGAGGAAGGTCATTGGTTAAATAAAAAGAAACTGCTTGGCTCTCATTGGTTAGAGATAGGTGGGAGGAGTAAACAGAACAGAACGCTGGGAGGAAGAGGAAGTGAGCTCAGACTCCACAGCTCTCGGGAGCAGACGCTTCAGAGAGAGAGACGCCATGTCCCCGCTCCCAGGCAGACACATGCCATGAAGCTCCGACCCAGGATTGACCGGTTCTCACAGATTATTAGAGATGGGTTGATCGGGATATTAGAATTAGCCAGTAAGGGCTAGAGCTAAAGGGCCAAGCAGTGCTTAAAAGAATACAGTTTCCGTGTAATTATTTTGGGTAAAGCTAGCCGTGGGGGCGGACGGGTGCCGGGGATGCAGCCGTGCCGCTCATATTACTACAAAACCCTACAATCTACAGTGGTGACCAGCCTACAAGATACGCTGGTGCAATAGTGACACAAATGTTGTGAGCGTTATCAACTACGCTATGATTGGATAGAAGGCCCACTGCATGAGATGGAACTCATGTCAACTACGCTATGATTGGATAGAAGGCCCACTGCATGAGATGGAACTCATGTCAACTACGCTATGATTGGATAGAAGGCCCACTGCATGAGATGGAACTCATGTCAACTACGCTATGATTGAATATAAGGCCCACTGCATGAGATGGAACTCATGTCTGACACTGCAAGAATTATTAAGAACCTAGGACTGGATAAGCCATGGGCCTACAGGAAAGCCGCCATTCTGTTAAAAGTTAACAGCAATAAAATGACTTCTAAAGACATTCTACTACACACAGAGATCAGCGTCTCAGTCATCATCCAAGAAGCTTCTTCCTAAGTAGATAGGAACTAACACAGAGACTCACGACTGAACAACGTGCAGAGAATGAGAGACTCTAGAGCACTCGGTCCTCAGCGAACACCTCCATCAAACCCTCCCCACAGGGCTCAGGGAGCTGTGTGGAAGAGGAGGTGGAAAGGCTTAAAGAGCCAGAGGGGATGGAGGACTCCTAGGAGGAGTGTCTTCCAGGCACAGAACAAATGCACATTCAAATTCACAGGACTGTGGCAACACAAGGGCCTGCAGAGGTTCAAGCCAGACAGGATTTCACTGGTCAGAGAGAGAAGTGGGCATAGGCTCCCACCCTAACCAAGAAACTACCTGCAGTTGACATCTGCTTGCAAAGGAAAAATCCGTTTTCTCCACAATGGAGTCTCACTGGGTGTATTGGTCCCACTTAAGGGTAGCTCCCATGCCCTTCCATAGATGACCAACACAAAATAAATTGAAGGGTATTTTAGTAGACTTTTTGTCCCAAAATGCTTTGCTTGGGCATTTTTTTCTTATTGGTCCTGTGTTTGTATATTTGGGGTCCACTTTTTATTGTTTTTTCCAGTATGTGTCTGTGTCTGAAAACTATTTTTCTCCCCACCCCCACCTTATTTGGTTTGTTTGGGGTTTTCTTTGGGTGGGTGGGGTTGCTT